GACCAATAAGATTAGGGAAATCATTGAAATTAGCCCCATCTACCTGCCTGAAATACCTCCTGCTGCCCAGGGTGGATAAGGACGCCCTTCCATCTGGGAGCTGAGAGCAAATCACCTAGCAAGGTCAGAGAGCTAGATGGAAGAATTCGGTTTAGAAAGGTAGTTGGGATTTACAGAGCAGGCTACTTGAGAGAAATGTACAGGAAAGAAGCTCTGGAGAGTTGTAGGAATTCATTCTCTTCCAGTCTTTTGGATACCATGTTGCATTTATGTTCTGTTTGTCTCTTTCAATCTGACAGTTCTGTAGACTTCCGATCTGTCATATTTTCAGCACTTACACAGTTTTAGTCAAAGTATAATGTTCTCTGACTATCTTATGATTATGCAGAAGTGATTTTTCTTAAGTACAATTGGGAAGTGACCTTGTAGTGCCTCTGTGTCAGGAGTCCGTGATGCCTGTCAGTACGCCTTGCTGTTTGGTCCTGCTAACCGTGATGGTGTGACTTAGGTGGTGTCTTCCATTCTATCTCCATTCTGATCTCCTCTGATTACTTGAGTATAAATGTTTCAGAGGATTTTGAAGTCTCAGAGCTCCTTTTACAAACCGCGGTCTACGTCCTCTAATACATGTCATCCCTGCTTCCAAATGTACTGACAGCTTCTCAAGATCAACTGATTTGTGTCTTTTTAAGTCTGCCCCTTTGAAGTACTTAGGATTCCAGAATTTTTTTTTCATTAAATTTACTTTTCCTTGTGTCTGCCTTATTTCTTAATACATTTTGATTTACTTAATATACTTTTTTGTTTAATACAAAATGGAATTTATGATGTCCTGTTTATTATTTGGGGATAGTTCTCAAGCCAGATATGGTGGTGCATGCTTTTAATCTCAGCACTCAAGAGGCAGAGGCAGCAGATTTCTGTGAGTTTGAGGCCAGTCGTCTGGTCTACAGAGTGAGTTCCAGAACAGCCAGGGATACACAGAGAAACCCTGTCTAGAAAAACCAAAAACTAACTAAAATCAAACAAAAAATAGCCACTGCATAAGGAATGGTAAAAGTGACTCTGTGCTTGGAAATACTTTGTAGCAACTGGGAATGTTGAAACTCATTCTTATACAGATGTGGGGACCTCTTCAAGCATGTGCTACACAAAAGTTTGGGAAGCAACGTGTTTGGCATCATTCCATTTCTTTATGTGTGTAAATATAAAGACATCTGTACTAATCAGCTTTCTATTGCTGTGATAGAATACCTGGGGAAATTGCCTAAAGGAGGGGAGTTTGCCTTTGCTCATGCTTATAGAGTTTTAGTCCATGATCATTTAGCTCTGTTGCTTTGGGCTTACTGCAGTGAAGTATATCATAAGGAAAGTGTTAGCAGAGCTTGTTCACTTCAGGACTCCTGGGAAGTTGAGGAGAGGGAGACAGGACAGGGCTTAGGAGAGGGGGAAAAAGGAGACCAAAAAATAATTCAAAAGATTATGAAGATAACAACTATATTCTACTAGAAATATTTGGATGCAATGGAAAGTGAGGGGGTCCCTGCAGGTGTCAGACAGGGAAGCAAACCACATGAAGAGATAAGAATGAAAACCAGATTGACTTTATCAACCTGGATCAGACTTCTGGGAGTCTGATGCCAGGTGGTTCATTGTCAGTATATTTAAAACATAGTACAATATAGGAAACGGTTTCCAGGCAACAATCAGTCCAATCCCAGATGCAGAATAAAACGTAAGATGTTGACTACATAGAAACTCCTTTTCACAGCACGTGTGACCATGAGAGTGGGTTCTATAGATAAAAGGCCTAGAATCTAGTGTGGTCTCTGACCAATAGCAGAAGTCAGCAGACCACAGGAATCTTTCCTAAGGTAATCGGCTAGAGAGCGAAGAGTCTGGGATAAACATTATGTGAAATCTCCCCTAAGGATGAGTAATGGTTTAGAGATGGAAGAGTCTGAAATAAGCATTCTGGAACATTTGAGTGAGGACTGCCTCCATAGTTAGCAAAAAGGTCACCAGGTCATTAACAGCCTCCACTGTCCGCTTTCTGGATGGAATGCAGGTATTTGGTTTCTCTCCTCCATTGAGGAGATGAGATACCCCTTCATGATTAACATTCCTGGTTCCCATAGTGCTTCTCTGGTGTACAAGGCCCTCCTGCCCTCCACAGGAAAGGAAATGTTAGTTCTTTCACACTTCTGCTTGTTGTGAGTTGTTTTTATAATTGGCTTACTGTGTCTTTACAATGAGCAGCATGACATTGACTACTCAACATGATTGAACAACCGAGCAGCTTCCAGGCACAGAGGCTCTTGTCAGTAGGCTCTCTGCAGTACAGGGTCTAGGTATTTAGTACTGGTATTTAGTCTAGGGTGCCTAGAACTGATTACTGGGGGGGGGGAAGACTGCATGATTAAGATTTAGAAGTGTTACATGCAAACAACATAGGATTTTCCTCCTGTAGAACTGTCAGATGTGTTTAACACTAGGCTCCCATCTTGCACACGTTCTCTCTCACGTTCTCTCTCTCTCTCTCTCTCTCTCTCTCTCTCTCTCTTTCCCCCCCCCCTCCCGTTTCTTTCTGGTATACTTTATAACCTATCATACGTGCGATAGTATATGGAGCTGTACCTTTGTTGACACTTATGCATCGTGTAGATCTCACCCGGTGTCACCATGAACATCCCCAGGACTTACCAATATAATAGAGTTCTTTGCATGAGGAAATAGAGGGCTACGGAGAAAGAACCTTTCCCAAGACACTCTGTTGCCTTTTGAAGGAATTTAGAAATCCAACACACACACATTTTGTATTTCAAAATGAAAATTTACATGTGACTACTCACAGCTCACTTTACTGACTTAAGTGGGTGTCAAATTAGAATACTTGTATCCTCCCAACCAAGGGCAACATGTCCAGCACAGAAGTTAATGATCTCCGCCGTCAGTATCGGCTCAGGTGTGTGTGACGTGTTAGTCAAGTGAAGCTGTCAGTCCCAGACTGGCCTGCATCTGTTGCTATAGACATGGAAACAGTATGAACAAAGAAGCTGAAAGGCTCATTCTTGTGCAGTGAGCCAGAAAGATCCAGAATCCAGTATGAATGGCATGTTCCATCACACAGCAGTGTCTCCCTAGGCTGGGGAAGACTGTGAGCCCAGTGCCGAGGTTTCAGGCTTACGCTGTGGGAAGTTTTGGAGCACAGTGAGTGGTCAGATCTTTAAACTCTCAGGAGTAAATTCTGGTGGCAGAAGGACAGCAAAACAGTATAGTTTTTAAAAGATTTTAATTGTATATATTTGGCCTCAAGATGTATGGTTTCACTTAGGCTGTGAGCCTGTGATGACTGATTAACATTTATAAAAGTCTTGAAGTCGTTTCCAGATGTTTTAATTTTGTGGAAGACTTAGCTTGTTTTAAAATCAAGTGTTTTGTATAACAGAAATGCCTTAGAACTCTGTGAGCATTGCTATTTTATATTAGGCCATGTGTCTCAGTAAGTTTGTGATTATAGCTGAAGAAAGCTTCATTAATGTTACATTTTAATAGACTAAGGCTTCCAAGGAGTAGCCATAAACAGGAGAGGACAGGAAAGAATAAGTGATTCCCAATGGCACAGCCACCCTGGCTACATTCAGGGCCTGTACACTAGAAGTCAGAGGTAGGCTATTACTCTACCACTTGCTATGACCCAGGATGTGGCTGTAGCTCCTTTAAATGTCATCCTCTGTAAGACTGAGACAATATGGTCGTACAGATGACAGAATTGTATGATATACTGGTCCACATTAATGAGGCAGAGCTCTGTGTGGAAAGTGCTCAGATACCTCCAGGAGACTGTTTGCCTTATTGCCCTACCACTTAAGTCAAAGCTGTGTATGAGATAAAAGTGCTTGTCTGGTCCACTGGAGGCCCTTGGCAGTCTGCACACATGGTAGATACAGGGGAAACAAAGTCCACAAATTATTTTCTTTTCTGCCTGTTTTCTCCCAATTTCCCCAGGAAGTTTATAGTAACTTTTAACATGAGACCCTCTCTGAGGGGTGGGGTATGTGTGTGAAAGTGATTAAATTTGTACTTTTGTCTCTAAAAGGAAGATTTAGGTTGAGTACAAGGAGTAAAATTTCTAAAATCAGAACTATCTCATAGGGTAGTCCACCTCAGAAAGAGCAGGTTAGCCAAAGCTGCTTAGTACTTGCATTGTTTCACCTCTGCACCCAGCACTGCATGTCTGTAGCTGTTCACACTGTGGTGAAGATCCTGGCAGAGGATTCTAAGTTACGTATATTGGTTATGTGGTCTTGGGATTTTGGGCTCAGGTTTTTATAGTGATATAGGAAAATAGATTGACATAAAGACAATTGAAGTGTAATTTATCAAGATGAGAAAAGTTGTCATTTCCCTGGGTATTACCAATGTGGATAACAGAGCTTAAAGTTAAAGTTGAAAGTGTAGCTTCCTCATCTCCTGTAAAGCTGAAAAAATAAATGAAGCCAATACTCCCACCCCAAAACTTCCCCCTGCCCTTTGTTGAGTGTAATGAGGAGTATCTGTAGAGCGATCATTATAGATAGGCTTTTCCGTATTTTGGTAAAGTAGAAAATACTGAGGTCCACCAAACTATGAGAGTTACATGCAGAGTTTGACACATACTGCATGCTGCTTTCAGTTTTAAGGAAATAGCCTGGGCCCCGCTGTGTCCTAAGATGTGTTAGTCTCAGCCGTCTTTTCCCTGTTCCTTACCCACAACCCTTATCAGATCAGGAAATCTGTTTGTTCCACAGTCGTGTCTTGAATATCCCCATTAGACTGCAGTAGTTACCCCCCCGCCTGCATGTTAGCCTTCAGTTTAATGGCCTTTTTTATGTTCATTCATTTTATTTTATTTCCCATCGTGGTTTTGTTTATTTCTTTTTTTGTTTTTTGTTTTTCTGTTCTCTTTAAAAACCGTCGTGGTTTGCCCTTCATATTCCCCAATGTTTGCACATGACAAGATGTTGCCATCCCAACATTACCTCCCACCTCACTGACCAGTGCCACTACTGACCATCTAGCACCAGCCACAACGGGACCGCTTCCTTCAGCTCCTCGAGACGTCGTGGCCTCCCTGGTCTCTACTCGCTTCATTAAATTGACATGGCGTACACCTGCATCAGATCCTCATGGAGACAATCTCACCTATTCTGTGTTCTACACCAAGGAAGGGGTTGCTCGGTAAGTGCTGCATGTTCAGAGCCAGTGGGCCGCATCTTCTTACACCCGCCTGGCCATGCTCACCCACCTGCTTTACTGTGCCGGGTTTGTACCAGTTTTCAGTCCAGAAAACGAGATTGTTGAAATATGTCTTCCCCAATGTTATTTAGGTCATTATATAAACTCCAAGCACAGTGGAGTCCTAGGATTTTTTCCCTGCCTTTCTGAAAAACTGGGAGAAAGCAGATAGAGCTGCTTAGGTGGAAGTGTTCTGGTATAGCCTGGACTGTGCCTGGTGGGTTTTGTTCACTGTAGTACAGGGACTCAAACCAAATCAGATCAGTATGTGTGCTAAATAATCATTGCCACTGAAACACATCTCTAACAGTACAACTATGTACCGCTCCTATAAGATTCATTCAGCACAAGGTGTAGGTGTAGAGATTGAAATCAGTATAATTTATTAGTCAAATTAATTTAATTTTGGTTTTTTTGATGTCAAAAGAGTACTTAGGAGTAATGTCCCTAAAATGCCACTGTTGGTGAATTCCCTTTTACCTCCACCCACCTCAAGAGCTTATGTTGTTTACAGGAGGATGGCTAGAATCTCCAGACCACTTTATCCCACAGCCTGGCTTTCTGTGTGTGCGTACCCTCGTTTTCCTTTCTTCTCAGTTAAGCTCATTTTCTAGGGAAGCCAGTCTACTTATCAGTGGTGCCTTTGTTCCTAGTCTCTCTGGGATTCTCTTTCCTCTTTCCAGCTAAAGCTACATGTCTTATTCCTTCTGCGCCTATTGAAGCCCCATGAAGCCCTCTCAGGACAGTCTCTACCTCAGCACATTACTGTTACTCTCCATATGGATTGAAACCACTGGTACTGACAGTTAACTATAGTAATGAGAATAACTTAAGGCTGCTCAGTTGTTTCATGTGTATTTACATTGTTTTCCCACCTAATAATGAACTCTGTGAAAGACCCGTGTCACCTGCTGACTGTTGTAGACTATCTCACTGTTCTCAGCTTAGGGCCTTAACACATGAAGTACGGTTTATTTTCCTGCTAGGGTATTGTAATTGTTATGCATGTACTGTGTTTCTGTCCAGACTCCCAAGCTTATCGGGTGCAGGACCCTGTGACTCTGCCCCGTCACTAGCTGCAGTAACATACTTTTATCTTGATAGATTGGTCTCCTTGTCAAATAATGCATACTGAAAACGGGTTGTTTGAGATTTTACAAAGATAAGGAAATAAAGTTCTGTACATAAAAAGATGGTACACTATCAGTCTACTGAACATGAAAAACATTAAATAAAAGGAAGTTTAGAGAGTGATAAGTGCTGAGAACAAGAAAACTGAACACTAAAACAGCAAAAAAAAAAAAAAAAAAGAAATAAAACAACAAAACCTCCCAGAACCCAAACTCACACCTACAGAGTGGAAGGATGCATATAGCAGGACCTTAGGAGTTTCAGTGTCAGTGTCCGAATAACCTACGGGCGACAATAACCTACGGGCGACTCTGACAGCTGGATTGCAAATGTCATGTAAACTCACAGGGAAGAAGGCATCTAGTTGCTCCTATGCATAAGGCACACTGCCTTTGCCTTCCTTAATACATCTGCCATAAATAAATTTCTCACACAGATAATTGTATGTAGTTTCTTGTCATGCTCAGGCAACGTCCCTCAGGCCTCCCCTAAATGCCCACATACAAGTTTCCATGCACTTTCACGCTGTGTTAGACCCTGCTTATCCTGGTGCCCTTTGTTCAATCTTTAGATTTTACAAACCTAATGATGTCATATGGGACCTAGAAGTGGGCTGGGACATTCACAGTGCACACGAGTTCCATCTGCATGTCTGGAGTAAGGATGGCGGCCTTAGCACTCCCCTGACCCAGAACTTCTGGTAGAAATCAGCATGAGGTTAAACATAAAGGGCATACTTGGAACCACGTGTTGGGAGGTCAGTAAGAGTTTGGGCATAATAAAATGGGAATGGACCATTTTAGACGTTTGAGCAGTTGTGCCCTCTGACTGTATTAACAGTTTGTAGTCGGCAGTATTTTGAGAGCACTTTTAAGTTTATAATAGGAGAAGGAAAAAAAAATCCAGAGATAGCAGGTATGTTATCTAGATACAGCAGTCGGCATCCTGGATGAAGCTAAGAGCAGTGACTTAAGGTGGGTAGGAGGTGTGGACAGTACAGTAAAGAAGATGCTTAAGGCATTGTTACTTCATTAAGCTTGATTTCGAATACAAGCAATGAAGGGATAAAAGAAATCTAAAATGAAGTCTAAAGCCTATATCGTGATTATCTGTTTTATAATACAAACAGTTTACTTAGCCTTCTTGGGCTTATATTTATCGTCTTAAAAGCAAGGATGATAAATTATTTTACACAGTATAGTAAGAATACAGCGTAAGAATGTAGACCACTGCCTTACAGGCAAACTTCTCTACTTCTGCATTTAAAAGTTCAACCACCAGGTGGCACTATGTGCCTTGGTCATAAGTAGTAATTCTGCTGGCACTTAAGTTGCGTAGTCCAGAGGCTGCTTTGCTTGCCTCTCTTTATACCTGTGGGCTATTAGTCCATTCTACCATCTAAGCACCTCTGTTTTAAACACAAGTGCTTTTCTGATGTTGGCTATTAAATAAAGAGTTGAGAGTTACTCTAAGTATTAATAGTATTTTCAAGATGGATGAGGCATAGAGCTGCTAGTCTAATTCTAGGCCTGCATACTATGGATACCAGGCCAAATTGGAGCCATTGTCTTTATGATTGAGGAGCTAATAATTGTTTTTGTATTTAAAACAGTGACTTTTTTTAAAGCATTATATAGGCAAGTGTTTTGCCTGTAAGCTTAACGGTCTGGCACTTTTAAGAAAAAGTTGCCCAACCTGTCTCATTCTTTCATTAAATACTTAAAGAAAGTAGGGTTCAGAAAGAGCTAGTGTCTTGATCATAGTCTCTTGACAGGCTAACAGCCCTACTATAACTAGAATTAGATTTCCTAGCTTCTTGTTCAACACTGTCTTAATATAAAACACACTTTTTTTATTCTCATTTGATTCAGCTGTAGTATTCAAACCTCGGTTCCATTGTAACCACCCAGATAGTCTGAAAATAGTCCTTTCTGATGGTCACTGGTTCCTGTCCTGAAATTGCCTTTTCTTTCTTCTGAAGAGAAACTTGGTTCATATAGACCAGTCTATGAGAGCCTTCTCAGATGGGGATTTCATCTCTGGGAATCATGCTTAAGACTGACTCCCTTTTTATAACAATGATTCTATGGACGGCTGTTTCAGGATTAATAATGTCACTGGTTTCTCCCATCCCCCGCCTTTCAGAGAGGAACAAGTAAAAGATACATAAGATTTCAGCAATGTAATACTTACAGTTAGAAGGCAAATTTTAAGTTCTGTATGTGTGTGAATCTCCTGCATGTGAGCATTCTACCTACTACTTGTGCAGTGTGTAAGCATGAATGAGACAGTCTTATACTTCAGTTTCAAGTAAAATACCATCCCCAATTGTTTTTCTAAGAAATACGTTGTTTAAAAATTTATATACAGGCGAGTCGTAGCCTATGCTCCAGAGTTCAGTCCTTCCCATTAAACAGAACAGTCATTGGTGATCAAAACAAGGTCTAGCTACCTCAAAGTATAAAGGATCAGTTGATATGCTCCCTCTAAATCTGGTAACTTAGAAGTTTAGACAAACACAAAATAGTACTGTGGATATCTTAGGTAGTGCTAAGCAATAATTTTTAATACTATAGTATTCTTTTTAGGTGACCTAGCCAACTACAGTATAATAACCTCTATAAATATTCTGTGGCCACTTTGTTGTTTGTTTGTTTGTTTGTTTTTTACCAATTCAGGTTTTTTAAAATTTTTTAGATGAAAATATAATTATATTGGTTTCCCTTTTCCCTCCTCCCCAACTCTTCTTATTGTCCCCTTTCCAATTCATGGCCTCTTCTTCGTTATGTTTTACACACACACACACACACACACACACACACACACACACACCTTGTGGAGTTGTTTGTATGGTTTTGGTTATAATCAGTGATATCAGTAATATTTGAGCAAGATCGCCCACAGCTTGCCAGGTGTCACAACTCACTCTTCTGCCAGTCTTCATATACTGTTCTGCCTGGAAACACTCAGTTCCACTTTTGAGAATAAATGTGACTTAATGATTAGATTTTCACAGGAGCTGGAGATTGAAACTGTCTAGAGCTATGCTGTATTGATCAGTTTCTTCCCTAACCCTTCTTTATCCAAAGGGAGCGTGTTGAGAATACCAGTCAGCCAGGAGAGATGCAGGTGACTATTCAAAACTTAATGCCAGCAACTGTGTACATCTTCAGAGTTATGGCTCAAAATAAGCATGGCTCTGGAGAGAGTTCAGCTCCTCTACGAGTGGAAACACAGCCTGAGGGTAAGTCTTTCACCTGCCTGCTGGCCACACCCTGAGAGGGACTATTTGGATTTGTCTTGCATATGGGCTTTAAGCTCCTTTTTGATGGGAAGATGAATTTTTATTGAACATAGCAAGTAAAAGGACAATCAGTGTATTTCTGCTTTCTTTCATATTATACCAATCTTTTAAGGATTAGCTCAGAAGTCTTATAGAACCTTTCTCTGATCCTTTGCATCTGTATGGTCCTAAGATACATCATCACTTCATTCCTTAATTGCTTTTATTAATACATCTTATTTTATAGACATTTCCTACAATGTCTACACATAATGCAGTGCTTTGGACAGTGGTGGGTATGTAACACTGTTGCCAGCTGGAGTGCCCTATGCTAACGTACCTTACTAGTTAGAACCTCTTTGCTTTGGATCTGTGTTCTTCTGTGCTCAATAGTATTGCCTCTAATTACATTTCTAAGGTTTTCTGTGACTAAGGTAAATGTCAGGTTGGTTTATACTATTAATGTCCTTTATGCCTTAACTTTTGATTATAAACTACAAGCCTGAATTTATAAGAAATATCATAATATTTTTCCTTCTTGAAAATTTTTAACTGCTACTTCTTGCCATAAGCCATATTTTTCCCAGAATGGTTTCTGGTTAACTTTTATGATACTTACACCAGCTCTCTGTGTTCAAGAGTCTAAATAAAAGACTTATCTATCTATCTAAATAAAAGACTTATCTCCCTATCTGGGAGCTCAGAAGAATGAATTTACCAATTACAGAACAGAAAGAATCCAGGAACTTTGCCTGGTGGGTGGAATAAAGGCAAGAAGTTGTAGCGAATTACTTATCCAGTGTTTGCATGCTCCTGTGTCAGGTACTGTGCAGAATACTAGAAACACAGAGATGGCGAACAAGTGATGTTTGTTCTTGAGCGTAAGCAGTGATAAATATGATAAGGAGGCCTTTGGTCACAGTAGTGGTGATACTGAAAGCATGAGTCTGTGCTAGGCAAGAACACAGGGCCATGAAGAGTGTCCAGAATTGATTTAAGGTGAACACACTCTCATTACACAGGGAAGGGTACTAAATTTCATAGTTGACTTTGTTTAGATTAAGTGTGGGAATCATCCATTAGATTTTTAGGCTCCATTTCTCTTCATTTGCTTTTAAGGGAAGCACTATAATTGCAAGATACTAGACTAGAATTCAGAGCAAGGAAGAATTTATATAAAAATATAGAAAGAATCTCAGAAAAGCTGGAGCCTGTGGTTGACCTTAAAGCATTTGACATAGCACAAGCATTCTTGGGGAAGGAAAACTGGATGACCCAAATCCCAGAAATAGGATCAAACAGTTCACATGCAAAGTGAGTCATGATGAAAATGAAGGAAGGACCACTGGATTTGATGTGGTGCAGAAGTCTGTCCTGAGACTGTGAACCTTCTGAAAATGAAAATACCTGTGTCTATATATATCTGCATTCCCCTTGGAAAATGACTAAGCTTTCATGAACATTTCAGACTTTGTGTTCAAATTGTTAAACCATTGAACTAAAAGAGTTATTGTCAAATTTAGAAGTGAAAGAGAAAACATAAGGAGAAGTGGCCAAATTGTGTTCCTACTGTGTGCCTTTCACTGTGTTGGGCAGTTCAGACATAAAGATTAGTAAAGAATTCTGTTCCCAAGGAATTTACAACCTACTGCAAGAGACAGTTAAGTACACAATAGTGTGAGGTGCCACCCTCACATGGAAGAGACTAAAATAATTAGTTGAAGAGTTTTGGTTAAGAAAGAGTAGTTGAATGAGGTTTTTGGCAGGAGGAACAACTGGTTCTGATATAGCCTTTTGAAATTGTAATGTGACAGCAGAGATGGCAGCAGTGAAGGGGACTTGCACCTCCTGAAGGTGTGGGGCATAAGGAAAGGTATGAATGCTAAATTAGCCTTTGGAAAGTATTTTGCAACTTAAAATCTCTATTTGTTATACCACTGTTCAGCTGATTTGAAAGAATCATTAGTGCCTTTTAAAGGATCGTATTTACCTAAGCTTAACCAATGAATGTAGAAGGTGATGTTAAGAACATTTGTTTTTCTATTTTTTCCTCCTGTTTTGTTTTCCTTTCTCTTTAGTTAGTTAAGTTGGAAGAAAGTTTCCACAGCAACAGAAGTGTGACAAACCCTACCTGTCAGGCTACACAAACTGTGCTGTTAACACTGAACAAATGGCGTGACTTGTGACTAATAAAGGAAACAACTGTTAAAGTGACTACATTCAGATCTTTCTGCTGCTGTAGCAAAGCAAATCTCATGCCATAAAGCTGTTGTTTGAGAAAAACAGTTTTTTAAAACATTTTTTCCTTCCTTGGCCTTAAATCTAATGGTATCTATAATAGTGACATTAATGCTAGAAAACTTACTTTTAATACAGAATTTCTCCAAAAGTATAGACCTGAGCAGCTAGCTAGGATTTATATACTGTTGGGAAAGAACTCTTGTCAGACAAAAAGAATATTCTGAAAGGGTTGATGTGTGAGCCATTGTAGAAGTTAGATCCAGGGTCCAGAGGACCAGCTTCCACACTGAAGACACTCTCCTTGTCTCCTTACTGAGCTCCAGGAAGTCGTCTTTAGACTAAAAAAATTATAACTTCCCATGACTTGGAAAGATTCCTAACCTCAGAATTCATGGGGATGGTAATACCTTGCATCTCATTTGGTTGCTGCTAAGATTGTTAGAAAGAAAAAGGAAGAAGCATGTTAGCTTACTGAATGTCTGACTCACTGTAAGCATTCAGTAAATGGTAGCTATTTCTGAGTCGGGTTTTATTGCTTTGCTGCTTCTCTCCCATGCTTGTGTCTACACATCCTTTCTAAACATGGATCTGACTCTCAGAAAATCTAAACCTCATAGCAAGACATGAAGCGCTCCTCCATCTGACAATTGTTTTCACCATTATTTCTTCCACATCCATTCTGTGGTGTAGCCATACAAGTCATGTGACATTGTCTTTCCACTTATCCCCCTGATAGCCCACTGACAAATAATCTTCTCCCAGATATCTCAGAAAACCATTTATTTGTAATACTAAGAAATCTTCACCAGCTCTTCTCTTCCCTTCCCTAAGCAACCCTTCACACACCAGAATCCTGTACTCTCTACTATTTCACTACAGCCACCATGTGAGTCGGTCAGCATTTATTAATGTGCTGATTCTGTGTTAAACTGAGTTCTTTGTGAAGGGGGCTTCTACCCATCTCTGTGTTCCCAGGACCTGCTTAGCGTTCAATAGCAGAACGATCTCTTCCGGTGGAGGTTGCTTTTATAGTGTGCAAGTCTAAGGACTTTAGTTTGGATTCCTCAGCACCCCCATAAACCTAAGCACACACCCGCAACTCCAGCTAAGGGATTGGGGAGGGAGCAGGTGGATCCAGGAGCTTGGATCATGCAGCCAAGCTGAGACAGGGAAGCTTCAGGGTCAGCGGGAGACCCTGTCTCAGAGCGAGGCAGTAGAGTGTGATAGAGAAGATATCTGACACTGACCTCCGGCTTCCACACAGCTCTGTGTGCTAAGAGAGTGTGGATACACATGCATTGCTGTGAGCTGCTAAATCACAAGAGTTCTTTTGTGTATTTTTCTTATTTTTAGTTACTGAGAATGGCTATTGTGGACTTTGCAGTAAATCTGGTTTAGATCTTGATCTCTTGGAATTCCCTTTACAGTTCAGCTCCCTGGCCCAGCACCTAATATCCGAGCTTATGCAACGTCACCTACTTCTATCACTGTCACATGGGAAACGCCGTTATCTGGCAACGGGGAAATTCAAAATTACAAATTGTACTACATGGAAAAAGGAACTGATAAAGAACAGGTATAAAGTGATACGATTCTTTTTGAAACCACTTGTTTCTAAAAACTAAAGGGTTAGAGATACAGCTCAGCAGTAGAACAGTTGCGCAGCATACAAGATGTGCTAGTACTGTAACCTCTACCCCAAAATCTTACAAAACTCTATGGTTAGTTAAAGAAATCAAAGGTGAGGGAGATGCATAGGAAATTAAATGATGAGGGTATCTGTTTTGTTGTACTAAGATTTATTTTGTAGTTTTTACCAGCAAGAGTTACTAAGCATCAAATAATATTTCTAAATAGATGGCTATTGTTTATAATTAACTAATCTGCTTTTACTATAAATAATATTTTGTAAGACGGTTAACACTATATTGTGCAGAGTTTGTTCATTTTGTAGCATTTCTTTTAGCTTGAGCTCTGTGTGTATATGTGTGTGTGTGCACATGTATGTACAGATAAGTTTTCTATTTCATTCAAGGATGTTGATGTTTCAAGTCACTCCTACACCATTAATGGACTGAAGAAATACACAGAATATAGTTTCCGAGTGGTGGCCTACAATAAACACGGTCCTGGAGTCTCTACACAAGATGTTGCTGTTCGAACATTATCAGATGGTAAGCTTTTTCCTTTGCAACAAAATACCATTATTAGTACCCCTTATTAGTAAAATTATGTGCTTGGATGTGAAGAAACTTTTATTCATATCCCCATTGTACCTCTTGATAATCAGCTAACTTTTTGAGTATTCTTTTCTTACATGTAAACTTTAGGTAACACCAACTTCACCAGCATTGTGCTGTAAAACTTCACTGGAAAGCACAGAACATGTGGTATCTCATTCTAAATGGGTTCTCGGTGCCTTTAGTAGTCTTCTGTGGCGATAAAAGTCTGTTGCTTGTTCACAGCACAGGCCATTTTATGGCTGTGGGATGATTATTAGCCTTACTGGATGTACCAGTCATATTTAAATATTTTAAAGCTACAGTTTGACTCCCATAAGCAGATGACCAAACATTACGTCAGTAATAAAGATGCAGGCATGTGTGCCTGGTTTGTTGTCCATGAAGAAATACACAGCTTTGGCCTCTGTTTTCCTACCTAAAATACTTAACCTCAGTCCAAGTCATGATGCAACAAGCCGACACATGAAATTGAGAGAAGTTCTGCAAGTGTTTTTTAAAATTTAGATGGCCTTTAGAATTAAAGATGGCCTCAATTCTTAAAATATATTATTAATCTTACATAAAAATCATCCAAATTAAAGGAGAGAAAGACATAGGCTATAAAATACGTGTGATCTTTGGTTCCTAGATACCAGGGGGAAAAAATACTTATGTAAGACACTGCCAGCACATTTACTAGTATTAAGAATGCTAGGTTTGGATATGTTATTATATATATTTGATACCATTATTTAATCAAAATTACAGCTTCCCAATGTGATTGTTGTATTTTAGTTTGGGTGAAGCCTGCTGTTACTCTCAGGAGATACTGAACTATTGAGTTCAGATATTCAGATACTGAAAGAGATGTGAACTATTTCTGAGTAATCTGTCACAGTGACTAGCAACCACCTCTCAGATAAGTCAGAAACTATCTATGGTAGATAGACCTGTACCTATGCAATCTCATCATGTACTTATAATGGGAAAAATAAAGTAGATTTTGCAGAATGTTAATAATTAGTGAAACTAGAGGGAATAGAGGGAAAGAATGCAATGTTCATTATACTATTCTTTGTTCTTTTCTTTGGACTTAGCTTTTGTTTCAGATAAAAGGAGAGAACAAAAGATAAATTATAGTTCATCTATCCAACTGCATATCCAGTTGGTCATGATTTGAGAGAAAAAAAAAAAAGGCTTTTACAGCCTTTTAAATCTACATGTAAGCCAAATTTTAACTGCACTTAAATAAGTTGGCCTACTGACCACAGTAACGTGGAAACTGAGTGGAATGAAGTTTCTTAACATGGGTTTAAGGCAGCACTTTAGAGTAAGGTAAATCCCAGATCTTAGGCCTATCAAGTAAACCACATACAAGTTCATCTGTAAACAACATGCACATGAAATGGAAACAACAGTAAACTCCTGTGAGAGCTGTAAGGAGTGTGTACCTGCCACATAGTAGCTTGCAGCAAATCATAGCTTTGAGGGTAGGGATGTTTGAATGTCTCTTTGGCTAAGTTACTTCTTAACATGGACATGTTTTCAGGATAACTGGGCCATACTTCAGACCTCTACAGCTGAATCTCTGACTTGACGCCCATATCATTTTCCTAGGCACAGATTAGGACAGTGAACAAGGCACATTCTGTTGAGTAGGTCCGTATTTCAGTGTGTGATCACCAGATGATAGGGAATTGAAAAGTCCTGACGGGAAGATAGGTGAGAAGGGCTAAAACTAGCATCTGGTGGTGGAGAGCAAACCAGTTGGGTCTGCTTGAGTTTTCTTTGCGGTCTGTCATCACATGAAGGGAGAGTATCTGAGCCATCAGCTTTTAGACGCTCTTTTGTTAAGTTCCAGTATAGTAAGAACCTCGGTTATGTAACTGTTTGTTTTGCCAACAGACACCAACTCTTCACACCTAAATGCATGCTGTCTGACACATTGGTGCATTGGGAGGCCAGATAGTTCACTTACTGCAGCTTTCCTTGCTGAAATGTTTTTCTCGTCTTGAGAAAATTTAGAAATTGCCTTCTAAACTTTAGGAAGTCCACAGGAAAACCAAACCTGCTGTGTCTGTCTCCTCGTCTCAGTCCGTATTGTCACTAACTACTTCTTGTCACTTGCCACATTTATTGCACTTGGTTCCAGAAAATGTGTGGCTCTTCCCACAGTGGGTCCTCAGAATATGTTTAAGTTTTAGAATATTTCTTAAGTCTAGAAAAGTTTAGAGTCTAGGGCAGTGTTCTCAACCTTTGACCCTTCAGTGCAGTTCCTCGTGTTGTGGGGACCCCTGACCATAATGTCATTTCATTGCTACTGCCTAACTGTAACTTTGCTGCTGTTTAAATTGTGATGTAAAGGTCTGAAGTGATCCTGTGAACGGGTTGTTCGACCCCCAAAGGAATCGCAGCCCACAGGTTGAGAACTGCTGGTCTAGGGGCTCAAAGCTACTTATATTTCTGAACTAAGTATCTGATTTCCAGAATTATAACCTGATTTGAGTAAGGGTGGATGCTCATAAACCAAGCATGGCCACCAGAGCTATCAACATAAGACATTGTTAGCTGGGTTGAGACCTTCTAGTCACACTAGTATTAACACGGTGGGTGATAGATGGATGACTGACTTGTTTGTTTCCTTTTTTTTTTTTTTTTTTACCCTGTCTAGTGCCCAGTGCTGCTCCTCAGAATCTGTCCTTAGAAGTGAGAAATTCAAAGGTAAGGCTTTACTTCTGTTCACTTTACTGGCACCTTGAGCCTTAGAGGGATGTAAAGAGCCAGAAATTCCTTGGGCAAACATCAGAACAGTGAATGCCAGTGTTGCAGTAATTCATTTGCTTTGAAAAATACTAACCTGAAAATTAGGATGTAACTGAAAACAACTAGAATCAAACAGGAGAATAAGACACCATAGGTATAGTATAATAAAGCCGGGCTAAGAACTCATTTACTGTTTTTTCCTTTCTCTGAGGCTAAAACCTCTTTAGCTTTCTACTAAAAATGTTCTATGTTTACGTAAATATGACATTTTAGAGCCTAACAAAATCACTCAAAGAAAGTAGGTTGCTTATGATGGCATGATGTCAGTGTAAACCAAAGACAGATGGGTGTCGACTGGATATCTGGTCACAGCATACCCAGGTTCGTGTATATCAGCCATGTATGCCTTTCAGATACCCTCCTGGGCAACATAAGTAAAGAAGTCTTATCAAAAGGTACTATGAAATGCTATATCAGAAAATATTCACTTCTGTTTCATTTCAGGGTTTTTTGTTTGTTTTTGTTTTGTTTTTTTGACAGGGTCTTACTATACGTATATATACATATACCCACTGGCCTAGAACTTATTGCATAGCCCAGGCTAGCCTTAAACTTGTAAACCTCCAGTTTCTGTCTTCCAAGATTTGGGATTACAGACATTCCATCCACCACTCCTGTCCACAGGAATTATTTAATTACAGCTAATTTGCATTCAAGAAAGGAAATAATTCTAGCAATAATTTTATTTCCTAACCTGTATGCTTCTGACCTTATATTTGCCTTCTAAAAACTCTTCTGGGACTTTTGATGTTTTCATTCGGACAAAATACTTACTTAGGAGATAAGTCTAGACTCAGGCAGGTATGTCCACACTGTGTCCATGGGCTGCATACAAACTAGGGTCGATCAATGTTATGCAGCCTAACCCAAGAATTATAGACACGAATTAAAACATGAAGGGTTTTTAGTAGTTTCTCTTGTAACATGGCTCTCAAGCATGAGTTTTTGTAGATGACAACATCATGTCACAAGCCTAGTATGCTGCTTTAATAATCTCCCCTGAGAGGAATTTGAGGTTTTCTAATTAAAGTTTTGTCTGTTTGTTGTGCTAGTGTTTTGTTTTGTTTTGAGTCAGTGTCTCACTGTGTAGCTCTAGCTGGCCATAAACTCACTGTATAAATCATCTGGCTCTAAATTCACTATGTAGATCAGGCTGGCCTCAGAGTCATAGATATCTATCTGCCTGCCTCTGTCTCCCAAGTGCTGAGATTAATGGTGTGCATTACCACATCCAGTAAGTTAAGATGACTGTTGACTATTAGATAAGTAACTTGGTGAGGCTTCACATACCAAGTGCTCTCTATGGCCGTTCTCCTCTTTCTGCAATGGAATTGGGTTTGATAGCATGTACAGTCAGGAGCAGCCCTTTGACATGTTCAGTCTTTTCCTTGTACTGGCTCTCCTCAGAGTATAGTGATCCACTGGCAGCCCCCTTCCTCGGCCACACAAAATGGGCAGATTACTGGCTACAAGATTCGATATCGAAAGGCCTCCCGAAAAAGCGATGTCACTGAGACCTTGGTAACTGGGACACAGCTGTCCCAGCTGATTGAAGGTAAGCTGCTTTGCATATAGTCAGTGGCTAAAAGGTGGTTCTTTCTTAGACTTGAAATTATGCTAGTCTAAAACTGCTCTAAGCAGTTGTTTTATATAAACAAATTAAAAATGGTTTACAAAAAATTGTAATAGTCAGTTTTTGACACAAATTAATGGAAAATACGCTGGTGGATTCCTCCATTGCTGAGGGATTCAGTTGTGTTTGATTTTTAGTTCCTTTTTATTGTCTCCACATTTTTGGAGTTTCTAAGACTTTGTAATCTGAAAATGTAAGATAGATTTTACTCAACCAAATTGGTAACAAAACTTAAAACATGCCAAACTCACATGACCTGCAGAATATTTGAATAGCTGCAATATTATTATAATTACATTTGCTGTTATGGACAGTTTAAAGTTTTAGAAAATTCTATCACAAATGGCTCTTTTGTATAGTTTTCTTTCTATGTATGAGATATGTCTTACGAGATGGATCAAAATATAGATCAGTAAGAATCCTCTTATACAGCTATGAGGAATGGCTAAGCAAGGCTAGGATTCCTCTACGGGAAAATCTTGAGAAGCAACAAATGTAAATGCAGAGAGAGTCTAGGCATTGCTAACTAATAAAAGCAAAAGCAGGCTCCGTTGTGCTCAGAGCACAGCTAAGTACCAGCCAAATGAAGCATTATCCGAAGCCTCCATAGATGAAAGGATAACTGTTGTCTAGAAGCACGTCCCAGTGTCCAGAGAATGAAAAGCTGTAATCTATATGAACTAACATTGAATATGCAATGTGAACAAAAACAGATTCTTGGAGGCTTGAAGCATTTAACTTGAAGCTTGCTAATGGAGCATGCAATATGGACTACTAAGAGTCTGTGTCAGACACTGAATTAAACAGTTAACCTAGAGCTGGACAAAGTGGTTCTTGTAGCACTTAACACACATTACCGTATCTTTTTGTCTGCTGTGTGCCTTAGTTTTGCTTTTTAAACTGTCGGTTATTTAGAGGGGAGAGGAGCTCAGCCTTTTCGTATTTACCTCTCTCTTGCCTGCTCTTTCATATGTTCTTAGCCTTCTAGAGAGCACAGAATGATAACTGTATAATTGGACTCTTGCAGCTCCTTATTGAGCCGCTGTGTTTGTTTTATTTTAAGATTTTGTGCATTACAAGTACAAACATGTGCAGTATTCTCTTGCACTTTCTGACAAAATGGTAATGAGAAATGGGCCTAGAGAGATGGCTCAGTGACGAAACACTGGCTGTTCTTCTAGAGGACCCAGATTAGAGTCTCAGCTCCCACATGGAGTCTAAGTACAGTCTCAGGGAATCCAATATCCTCTTTGGCCTCCAAGGGTGCCAGGAATATACATGGTGCACATACATACAGGCAAAGCACCCATACATATAAGATAATAAATAAAAGTAAAATTTTTAATGGGGGGAGGTAAATTGACATGGGTCCAGCATTTGTTCCTCTCTGTCCTTGCTTTTCGTGAGCAAACAGATTTAGCGTCTCATGCAGGGCAGAGCATTCTGTCTCTTCTTACTATATGCCAGGATTGGTTACCTTAGCTACAGCACACCTTGCATCCCAGCCTAGTTATTTACTTACATTTTCAATATCTCTGTCTTTATTGGAGTTTCTGTACCATACTGCTGTCCAAAGATCCCAATTTGGATATAGAGGGGTAGGATGATATTCATAACCGTTCAGTATCTTGTATTTAAATATTCATATTTGTATTTGTATGCTCTAAAAATGTACCTGTGAATGGATGCACAACTGGTCGTATTAACTGTTACCCTGCTTTGAAGGTGGACTTTTATTGGTGAATCCTTGTTGCTTTTACATCGGTAAATCATGCACTTTATTAAAGCTGGTAGTAAACAAAGAGTTACATAATAGAAAACTTTGGGTTCTCTTCTTTTACTATAAATACACTTGTTCAACTGGTTATTGAAAAATAGATTTCTAGGCCATATTTGATGTTGAAATTATTTCAGCTGTGGTTATAGCGGACCTCAGAGAACAGAGGAAACCTGATAGGAGCTACATCTTTGCATTCTTTTCTGGGTTTTGGTGTCTTCTGAAACCGACTGATTTAGTTCCTTTGTAACAACTCTTTCATTATCTTTGGTCATGGTTTCCTTTTTGACAAAATTGACAGGATTGCATTAAATAATCCCAAAGGTGCCTTCATGATTTTAAACATAAAAGCTCTTAACTTCCTGGGAGGGTTAGTCTTTGCTGTTTTATTCTAGGTGGTGTGGGCACTGAGAATTACCCTGTGTTGTATTTTGCTTGTTCTTTATGAACTTACACTTTATTAAGCTGTGGACTGAGTTGCTTAGGTGAGATGTTTCCTTTTATGGGAGACTTCTAACTTTTTGTTTTCCAAAGCTCTTGTTTCAGCTTCTCTTACTGTTTGATTCTCAGGTCTTGATCGGGGGACAGAGTATAACTTCCGAGTAGCTGCTCTCACAGTCAACGGTACAGGTCCAGCAACTGATTGGCTGTCTGCTGAAACTTTTGAAAGTGACCTAGATGGTAAGATTCAACAGTGAGTAGGAATGCCTCATGATGGATACAATCACCAATGAGTCAAAGTGGAAAGCTATTGAGGTTTGCTTGTCTGCGAACATTGGAATGTTGTGCTGTTATTGTTCCTGTGAAGCAATAGAGTTCCTAAAGGGTCATTGTTTTCCTGACATTGTAAAGAAGTACCAAAGGAAACGGGCTCAGAACAATAAAAATGTCCAGGGATTTGAAGTTGAGGTTTTTTACTGAGGCCAATAAGTAAATAAATAACCTGAAATGTAAGGCCAAGCCACATGAATGTGTGCCTATATTTCATTTTCAGCTTCCTTTTTCCTGAGTCATGGAGACCTTGTGCTTTTTCTTACCTGTTTGTTCAATAAGTAGTTCCAGATAGTTAGGTGTAGTTAGTGCCTTTAACAGTGATGGTGCCTGATTTGGGGAGACCAAAGACCTATATCCCTAGTCTGAGTTTCAACTAAGGTAGCAGTTTATATCTTGAAAAATATACATGAAAAATATATTAAACTGTTAAATCTGTTAGTCATCTAACAACTGGCTTTGGTGCCAGTTTTTCTGGATTGTTAATTATCTAGGGAAATAAATAATAGTTATAGTTGTAATATGATATTTGATTAACCTGTTCCAAACAGGTTTCTAGTTTGTTGATGATGTATCTTTCTCGTTAAACCCAGAGAGTTTAGGGGAATGGAATGAGCAACTGGGTTTTATTTTTTTAGAAAAAAAATCATAGACTGTATTCCACTGTAGCTATAGATTCTCTTTGAGTTCTTGGACCAAAATGGGGTTGTTAAAGCCCAAATATTTTGACAGGAGCTAAATAACATTCACCAAGGATAAGGAAATATCCTACAGAAAATACATCTCATTTTTTTTTCCTGTTTTCCTTCTCAGAAACTCGTGTTCCTGAAGTGCCCAGCTCCCTTCATGTCCGTCCACTCGTCACTAGCATTGTAGTGAGCTGGACGCCTCCAGAGAACCAGAACATTGTGGTTCGAGGTTATGCCATCGGTTATGGCATTGGCAGCCCTCATGCCCAGACCATCAAAGTGGACTATAAACAGCGTTATTACACCATCGAAAACTTGGGTATGCTTGCTGGCTAGAAGGGATAACCATTCCTGTGATTTCTTTCATTTTAAACTTTATTATAGTATAATATCATTTTTACAGAAAAACTGTAACACTGTGGAAAGGATTTTGCTATATTCTTCTTTGAGTCTCCACCCAGATTATACAGGATTAACTTTTCCACATTTACTTTATCTTTTTCTGTTTTTCTGTGTGTACATTTCCCCTGAAACATATAAAAGTCAGTTGCAGACATAATTTTCACTAGTCACTAACCTGAACATGAAAGTCTACTAAAATTGTTCTAGATAGCCTGCTTATTGAAATAAAGGCATTAAAATTGAGATAGAATTTTCATATTTGACACTTTTCTTACCATTGTCCTTTATGACCAAAGAATAGTCCTGTTTCCTGTTTGAGGATCAGTGTGAGTTATCATGTCTCCTTAGCCTTTGATTCAGAACCAGGCCTGTGGCTTGTTTGGTTTGTTTTCCCCCCAATCTTGATGAGTGACATTTGAAAGTATATACACAGACCATTTATGTTCCTCCTTAGGTGTGTCCAGCATTTCCACGTTACATCTGGTTTTACACACTTTGTGGGGAAGTGATACAGTGTTGGGTTTTTTCAGGGCATCATGTTAGACACCCAGAATGGTATCATGGTTTTTGTCACTTTCCTTTGTAATAATATGTATGTCATGAAGAAGATACCTTGATTTTTGCAAATACTTGGTTTCCCATCAAACTCACCTGCAAGTTTTAGGATGTATATAGTAGGTTGTTACCGGTCAAACTTTAGGAAAATTCTATTAGCCTCTCTTATTATACCAATTGAAAAGCTGATTCTATAATTTATTTTTAAAAGCAAATAACAAAATAGGTATTTTAAAAAAAGAAAAAATTGAAAAATTTTTACTAATTGACTTGATGATAACTTACTAATAATTTAAAATCATGGAGACTCAATGGTACTGGTGCAAAGGTAGAGGCTGTACTTTAATGAGGTGATCAGGACTTAATGTAGTCAGTTGGGTTTTTATCAAAAGTAATGAAGTGATTCAGTACAGAAAGGATATCTTTGTAGCTATGGGCGTGGGAATAATTGAATGTATATATAAAAGGGGAAAAAAGAATACCCAAAGGACAAAATGCCACAAACAACCACGAACCGTAAAATTGACAAAGTTGTGTCAGTGAAAAGGCTCAGTGGGTAAAGTACCTGCTGACAAACTGAGTTCAATTCCCCAGGACCCACAGGCAAGGGAGAACTAACTTCTGTGAGTCATCCTCTGAAGTGTGTGTGTGTGTGTGTGTGTGTCTGTCTGTCTGTCTGTCTGTCTGTCTGTGTCTTGTGTGTCTGTGTATATCTGCTCACCACCTGTGTGCAGTGTGTGCATTGATCATAAAAGGTCATTGGATCCCCTGGAATGGAAGTTAGAGACAGTTGTAAGCTGCCATGTGTCTGCTGAGAATCTAACCTGAGTCTGCTAGAAGAGTAGCCAGTGTTCTTAACTTCTGATCTGTCACTTCACCCAGTCCTTAAAAATTTAAACTTCTGCTCTTGAAAAAACATCAATAAAAATAAAAAGTCAAGCCACATATACGGAGAAAATATCAGCCATCCAGATATCTGGCAGTTTGATCCTAGAATATGTAAAAATTTTTACAACATAGTAAAAAGAAAACCCAATCAAAATGAGCAAAAGATTTAGATAGACACTGCACTAAAGAAGACCTGTGAGCAGACAGTGAAGGTGTATGGTAGTATGTGAAGAAGATTTACAAATGGAAAATGAACATGTTTAAAGATGCTTAGCACTGTTCATTGTCAAGAGAACTGCAAGCGTAAAACCTCAGTGAAATACCACTGTGTGTCCTCTAGAATTCTCACATTTGCTGTCAAAAGTGCTGATAGTACAGCTACTTTGCAAAATGAAAGTTTATTTATAAAGTTAGCCATACAACTTAGCAGTCCCACTCATAGATGCTTAGCCAAGAGACATGAAAACACGTGCCCACTTAAAGGCTTGAAAAAATTGACTTTATCTATGATAACCTCAAGAGGGAAATACTATAAATTTTATCACTTAGTTAATAGTAAATTGCACTATATCTTTGTCATAGAAACTACTCAGTAATTAAAATTGATAGAATTGGCTATCAGTACACACAACAGAAGAAATGAGTCTTAGAAATGTGCTGAGCAAAAAGCCAGACACAATATATACTGTTACTGTATTTTTAAGATATTAAAAATATGCAAAATTTAGCTACAATGACAAATTTATAATCAATGGTTACGTTCTCAGTATTAGAAATTGATGTTTAAGAGCATAGCTACTTGGAAATGTCCTAATTTCTCTGTTTAGGGATTAATTACATGATTATATTAATTTGTCAAAACTTACTATCCCTTTAAATAACATTTATTTTATGCTAACTATATCTCATAGTTAATTTTAAAAGCAAAAAATCAGAAATACTAATTTCTTTAATAATGAATTATGGACCAGCAAGATGACTGTCTTAACTAAGGGTTTCTATTGCTGTGACATAACACCATTACCAAAAGCAAGTTGGGGAGGAAAAGGTTTATTCAGCTTATACTTCCATATTGCTGTTAACCACTGAAGGAAGTCAGGACAGGAACTCATACAGGTGAGGATCCTGGAGGCAAGAGCTGATACAGAGGCCATGGAAGGATACTGCTTACTGGCTTGCTTTCCATAGCTTGCTCAGCCTGCTTATAGAAGAACTCAGGACTACTAGGCCAGGGTTGGCGCTATCCACAATGGGCTGGGCCCTCCCCATCAATAACTAATTAAGAAAATGCCTTACATCCAGATCTTATGGAGGCATTCTCTCAATTAAGGTTTCTTCCTTTCAGATAACTCTAGTTCGTGTGTCAAATTGATATATAAGACTCACCAGCATGGAACGAATAAAGGTGCTTGCCACCAAGCCTGACAGTCTTTTAAGTTTGATTCCTGGGAACCACGTGGTAAAAAGAGAAAGCCAGTTTGCAAGTCGTTCTCTGACCTCATACATGTGCTGTGGCATGTGCATGACTACTCACATATGCACATAAATAAATGTAACTTTTACAGTTAAAATAATAATAATATAATGAATTAGTTTGTGTAGCTATAACTACCTTCCCATGTTGGATTTCCATTGTTAATACTTCTCTGAAAGACTTTTCTCTTAATTCATAATCTCCTCTGATGGATTTTTTTTTTTATTGAAACAAGTGCTTTGTAGATATCTTTCCTAAGAACAGCTTTAAGTGCCTAACAAATGAGTTCCCAGATCTTTTATGGAAGAAAATAAGCAATAGTTTATAAATGTAGTAAAAAACAAAATACACTTTCTGTTTTTCCTTCCAAAGAGAGACAGTTCAGCTGAACCCAGGCGGCTTATCCACATGAGTAGTCTTACAAGCAATTGTTGGATAGCGAAACCAGAGCTTTTCAGTAGATAAAAGTGTCCCTGTAGTGGCCAGCCTCCTACTGTTTCCCTTATGAAACTTCTGAAATAAAAGTCCTTTGCATTTCAGTCAGGACTTAGTCCTTGACCTCCTGGAATTTTCAGTCTAGGGGAGAACCAAAGTAACACACAAGAAACAAAGAAGAGAGTTAGGTGAAGTATGTTCAGAGAAAAAACACTGAACAAGGCACACAAAACAGCCCACTGAGAAATATAGCTGGGCTTGAAAGATGTAACCAGAATAGTGTTTGAGGCAGAGTGGTAAGAAGAAACACAGAGTCTGCTCAAGAGAATAAGCACTAGACTACTAGAAAAGACTCAGGTGTCCATCCTGAACATTAAGATTGACAGGACTATGGAGGGGTCTGAGTTCAGGAGACAAGAAGGAGGCTCAGAAAAGATTTGAGATGTCCACGAGCAAATGTCAAACTATTAGAAAAGAAGTGTGTTTCTTGAGACATAGTGAAAACAAAATTTGTCCAGCATGAAGTAAAATGTGTTTATTGGCCTGACTTAATATAAGATTCATGGACTATGAAGTGAAAGAAGCAAGTCAGAGGTGAAGATGTTTATGTAGGAATCATCTATTCATCAAACTTAAACTCTCCCGAGCTTGAAGGACCCTCTAAAGCAGTGGTTCTCAACCTTCCTAATGCTGCAACTCTTCAATACAGTTCTTCATGTAGTAACCCCCAATCATAAAGTTATTTTTATTGCTACTTCATAGCTAATTTTGCTCTATTATGAATTATAATATAAATGTCTTCTGATACACAACCCTGTGGAGATTGAGGCCCTCAAGTTGAGAACCACCGTCCTAGAAAGATTGTTCTCTTAGTCTCCTTGCAGAATTACTTGTAGGCCATCAAATCCTGGGCCACGCCTTGTCTAACCAAGAAGTTGACTGCTCTGGGTTAGGACATTCTCTGGAATATTGACAACACTTCACTCTCTGTTTCTCTCCTGCTTCTCTACCTTAGCTATGAGGTCAGGGATGGAAGGGGGTTGATTTTCAAGCTGCACCTGAAGGCATATATCATACAGTGAGCATTGTAAACCTTAGTAGACTCCAGGAGAGGATGTATAGCCTATCTCCACTCTGAAGACTGAACCAAGAAATGGATGGAACCAATCTTCTTGTAGTCTATGTCCTTCTCTCTCTACATCCTTTCATATCCAAAAATAAGCAATTCCATTAATATTTTTTTCTGCAATTAGACACTTTTGTATCTTTTTAATCCTGTAGAGAGCGTTAAAAAGTTGTTTTGACTTCTTTCCCTCAGATCCAAGCTCTCATTACGTGATTACCTTGAAAGCATTCAACAATGTTGGTGAAGGCATCCCCCTTTATGAGAGTGCTGTGACCAGGCCTCACACAGGTAGGGCATCTGTCTGTCGTGGTCACCTGTATTTTTCCCAACTGCTTATGTAGAATATGACTCAAGGATCTCCCTGATGGGTGTTCATGAACAAAAATATCATAGCAACTTGGAGTACAGACTTGGAATGAGTGATAGGCTATCTTTTTAAAGGCTACCACATAAGCCATTTTGTATAGATGTATATACTTTTTAATATGTTAGAGTCTAAAATGCATAGTTTTGAGAGAATTATTTTCAGTATTCATCATGTAGGAAACATACATATGAAGACTACTACATTAGTGTAGCAGTTTTTCATAAACAAGGACTGTCAATTCAGATTTTTAGTTATATACAAAACAAGTTACTGTAACTATATGAGGAAACAACATTTAAAACCTGAGCTTGTAAAAATAAATGAGAATGTGTATTTAGAAAACCTCACTAGGAGTTGGAAAAACCAGAGGTCCTTCTGTACCGCATTCCAGCTGTGGTCCTCAGTGACTTTTTTTTCTTTTTTCACTCTGGCCTCTGTTTTGCAATGAAGAGTGTGTCTGCTGCATAGAACATAGCACACACGTATATCCTTATCAAACAAGTACTGTGATCTCTAAAGCTCATCAGTGCTCTGCCACTTGGATCTGTAATGATCATGACATTTACTGTACCTGATGGAGACTTGTTCACTACCTTATTCTGACTCCTAGAGAAAGTACAGCAGACGGTGCACCATGGTGTCAGTTCACCTGTTAAGGATATATCCAGCTATGAGCCACTTCTCTGCTGCCTCCACACTTAAGATTGGCTTAGCTGTAGATATTCAGCTTTGAGGGATGAAACACCACATGTCCAGTGTTGGGCAGTAGTAATTCATATCCCAAAAATGCAGCCATACTTACTTAAATGTCAAACAGACCATGAGCTTTCTGTTTCTTGTTCAGAAATTATTCTCTGGATCTTAAGAGCAGTTTTGTTTTTTTGTGATTCTTTTTCTGACAGCAGGTAACATTTTCAAGGAATTTGAAAAAATTCAAGCATGCTTGTATTAACATGATCACTCAGTGACCGTTTGTCAGTGTCTTTAGAGTGTTGTTGACAGTATGGTTAACTACTAACTTGCTTAACATTTTCCTACAATTTTTCCTTTAAAGAAAAACACGTTAGAAGTGTTCTTCTGAATGAATGAGGGCTATCTATTAACTCTGGATTCTCTTTCTTTTTCTCCATTTCTCATCTTTCATTCCATTATACTCCCTTGCATTCCCTTTTATTTTTGTTTATGTTAAAATGCCACTTCCCTTTCTTAATTACTTTTTACCCAGACACTTCTGAAGTTGATTTATTTGTTATTAATGCTCCATACACTCCAGTGCCAGATCCCACTCCCATGATGCCACCAGTGGGAGTTCAGGCTTCCATTCTGAGTCACGACACCATAAGGATTACCTGGGCAGACAACTCCCTGCCCAAACACCAGAAGATTACAGACTCCCGCTACTACACAGTCCGATGGAAGACCAACATCCCAGCAAACACCAAGTACAAGGTACTGGACATTTGCCTTGAGGGCAAAAAGCTGCTAGTCAGTGGAAACTTTCTTGTTTTAAAGTTCTTGATTCATACTTTTCCAGAATGCAAATGCAACAACGTTAAGCTATTTGGTTACTGGTTTAAAGCCAAATACGCTGTATGAGTTCTCTGTGATGGTGACCAAAGGTAGAAGGTCAAGCACCTGGAGTATGACAGCTCATGGGGCTACCTTTGAATTAGGTATGTATAATGCAAATCCATGTCATGTGGCATTCCTTCTCTTTGTAAACTACGAAAGCCTGTGGAATTCACACTGTTGTTGGGCCACATTCTCAGCCATGGGACATCTTATCACCTGCTTCTACTGTCACGGGTAGTACACATATTGCTGTCTCATTTCAGTTGTGTTTGCCATTTCAGTCAGCTATTGTGGATTTTTGGGTCACTTTGCTAAAACATTAGTAAACAGTAGAATATTGTAATGCAGGACAGACTAGGCTTTAGAAATTACAAGAATTAATCTCAGGTCAGCCGTCTCCCGATTGTTCTCATGAGCACGCCAACTAATCCTTCTGAATCTCAGTTTCCTCTATCTTGTTTGGGGTGATAGTCCCCCATTTCTCCTTTAGAAGGTTATTGTAAGGCAAAATGAGGAACAGATGGAAAACTGTGTGGGTACCTACAAGATATTATTGTATTAATCCTGCTTACTGGTAAATTGAAATTGAAAACAATGAAGTGACCTGCCCTTGACCAAGCAGCTGCCCAGCTGTGCTTGCCCAGTCTGAACAGTTTACTAGTAATCCGGGCTTTCTTGGAAAGCAGCTCTGTAAGATCTTTCCCTGGACTAGTCTTCGGTGTCTGTAAGTACACGTGAGGGATAACTAGGTAGGCTGCCAGCCTTGAGCTCCTGTTTCCCCTGGGCTTTGCTGGGGAGTCTCTGTGTTCTGGCCTACCAGTGCCTGGTGAAAACCAAACTTCCACGTTCTGTATAAAGCAGTCTTGCCCTTCTGCACAGTTGCTTGGGATTTCTCCAGGGAAGGGGATTGAACTGCAGAGTTAGGAATATAGTGTAGCAAGGGGCAAAAAATTATTCATTTGGTTTTTTTCTGGTTTGTTTGGCTTCATGTTGAGACAGGGTCTCACTGTGTAGCCCTCTCTGGCCTTACACTCACCGTGTAGACCAGCATGACATCCAAGGCCTGCCTGCCTCTGGAGTGCTGGAATTGAAGGCATGTGCCACCACACTTGGCGTTTCCATCTTAAGAGTATCTTTTTGCTTTACTTTCAGCTTACTGACTAATAAGAGAAACGTTTACTTTCCCTTAGGTTTGTGTCTCCAGTCTTATATTAGAATCCAGGGTTTTCGGGAGGGACGATTTGAAGGGATGTTTGATTTGAGCATTTTCCTACTTATGCATTACATGAAATACTCTCACCTATGACAGAGAGAAGCCATTTCCTGTTGTCCTCTTTTCTGGTGCATGAACAGCTTTAATATAGATCAGTAACATCAGCAATTGGTAGTATGCTTTCTGTGTGAGCTTAAAATGAAAAATACCAAGTTTTCCTTTGATACTTTGATGTGTTTTTTTTTCTTTGCATTAGAATGGTTGGTTATACATAGACTTGTGTTATTGAAGCCGGGGGCTGTGTCTTTGTTCTGTACATTTACTGTTCCTTATCAGTTAGAAGGGTTGGGAAATTGAATTATATTGAAATGGATAGTACTTGTTATTTTGTAGTTCCTACTTCTCCACCTAAGGATGTGACAGTTGTGAGTAAGGAAGGAAAACCTAGAACCATAATAGTGAACTGGCAGCCTCCCTCTGAAGCTAACGGCAAGATTACAGGTAAGATGCCTTAGGCCATGCACTGTTCACAGCAAGTCCTTAGAAGTCGGGATGGGAGCCTGGCTTGGTCATTGAGTGGAGTGCAGTGAGTCATGTGGTCCTTGACGTTGAAGCAAGGGAGTACAGTCTGCCCAGAGTAGCATGGAATGTGTGTCCAGCCAGAGGTTCTACCTAACAATGGATGGTGGGATGGAATATGCTAGACTACCTTTATTTTCTACCGCAGCTTGATGGGTCCAGTTATTTTCCATAAAGCTGTCCACTCCCCAGGTGACTTGCTTTGAACTTGTGTGTCCAGTTTTCCTGGAAATTATCTAGTCTGTATAGACTGTGCTTTTCTACTTTCAAGCCCCACCAAATCCCATTAGGCTTTTAAACTACCACCAATAGCCCAAGGCATATCGCTTCAGGTCTCTGTGCTCTTACTAATAGAGTTAGAAGCTTGAATTACCGCAGGCCCACCAAGGAACTCAGGATTCCCCCCCCACACACACCCTTTGGACTTCAGAGAGAAATTTCCCATAGGAGGATACCTGCAGCTGTTTGGAATCTCTGCCCCATTAGGAGTTTGCTAAAGAACCAGTTACCTTCTGAAATCTAAGGACTCAGAAAGTGTATTTTATTCCTGGAACTTTTTTTTTTTTGTCTGTTTGTTTGGGGTTTGTTGTTTTTTTTTTTTAAGATGTGTTTTTTATTTGTAGCCCTGACTGTCCTGGAACTCTCTCTGTAGACCAGGCTGGCCTCAAGATCCACCCTGCTCTTACTCCTAATGCTAGAATTAAAAGGGTGTGCCACTATACCTAGTGTGTTCCTGGAACTTTAAATAAGATGTCCTTTTCCATAAGTCCTAGTCTTTATATTACTTTCTTAGGTTCCTACTTTGCCTCTTCTGTAAAAGAAACAAATATAACTTGACTCAGATTATATTTTCCTTTGTCTTTTAAAACCTTAAATAATACATCACATTTTTGTAGTGTAGATAGATCAGGAAGGCCTGTGTTTATGAGGCTTCCTGCCTCACTTGTGGGAATTGAGTGCCCCCTGGTGGAAATATCTGGTGACAGTCTCTGTGGCCTCACCCACCCTAAGAACTTTATCAGAGGTTTCCCAATCTACAAACCATTTCCTCCTGGGAGATGATTTTGGTTGAAGCTAATTGAGCATGTCATACCATTGCAAAATCTCAGAACTACATTATTCTAAATCTGGACGCTCATGATACTGTATTCAGATACTATATCATAGACATGTGTTGACTTTCTGGTTGCAAAAAGAAAAGCAGAAATGGGATCTCTTTTTCCTTCAATTGCTCTGGACAGGTTACATCATCTATTACAGCACAGATGTCAATGCAGAGATACATGACTGGGTTATTGAACCTGTTGTGGGAAACAGACTGACTCACCAGATTCAAGAGTTAACACTTGATACACCATACTACTTCAAAATCCAGGCCCGGAACTCAAAGGGCATGGGACCCATGTCTGAGGCTGTACAGTTCAGAACACCAAAAGGTAAAGCTCCCTGAGCCAAGGGTTTTAATGTGTTGTCTACAGAGCCTGACTGCGGCATGTGGAGACTACGGGTTGTGTGGGAAGCACTGGTGATGAGCTTGCCAGCCTCACTGTAAAGACTTACAAAGGATTCTTCTCCTACCCACTGGCCTCCAAGTTGGTACTGTCCCAGTCCAGCTGGAAGGGAACTTTGGCTCCACATACGTGAATTACAGTGACCTTTTAGGTTCTATCAGAGAAATCAGGCATGACTCTGTAGGTCTCCATAGAGTTATACTGCACAATATTGTGACAGATGTTTTCTTTCAGCACACACAGACTCTTAACATAAAAAAAGTTTATATGTCAGCTTTTGTGGAGGATGAGGTTAGAAGGAGCCTTTTATGTAAAACTCACGGAAATGTGTATAAAATAGTAAGCCAGGCAAGCTTAGGCCAATAAAGTAGAGTTGGGTACTGAGACTGTAGAGATGTGAAAACCTGAATTTCTTCTCTATTGTCAATTTACTTGGAAGTTTGTAGGAATTTTATTTTTTTTCCTTTAAAACTTCTGTCTGTCCATCTGCAAAGCTGGTGACCCTTGCTCTTGTCTCCTCTTCCCCTCTGCTTGACCTGTCAGCGGACTCCTCTGATAAAATGCCCAATGACCAAGGTAAATGAGTAGATGGCCTCGCTCTCACTTTTTCTCTTTTGCAACCTATTGTTTGTTTTTTGTTTCATTTTTTTCCTCCCTGAAAATCAGCATCATGTGTTAAAAACCACATACATACTTATTGGCCAGAGTAGAGTTGAGTCCACATGTGTAGTCCTTGGGATACCTGAAAAGCTAAGGGAGTCACTTAGAAGCTAAATTACCTGGTGGAAGAAAATGGAGTTGAATAAACTCAAGATTGGCATTAAGTGGAGATCACGTTATCCGTAGGAGTTAAGATGGTAAAGTTATACAGTGATAAGCATATGAGGCATAAAGTGACCAGTACAGCAACCTTTCATATTTGCGGCATTTAGGATTTTATTTCTTTAAGTGAAAAATTAATATCAAATTCAATAAACACTATATTTCCCTTCTGACATACATAGTCTTGTTGCATACGTGCTTATCTGTGACCAGGGGTTTCTTACTTTTGAATATGTTAATTTACAGCTCATTTTCTATTTCTTCCTTAAACATATGAAGGCCATTTTTATAATAGGATAAAAAGTGTGTGGCATGGACACTTAGGGAGGACGAGTCTTAATGTCACTGTCTTGAAATCCTCGGCCGGCAGGTTGCTCTGGTGGCATGGCAGCTATACTTTGTGATTTTTATCTCTGAGAAGTTAGCTAAAGATAGATCTCCATACAGAGATAGAACACTAACAGTGAGCTTGATAGTTGTTCTCACGGTTTAACAGTGGTAGTCAGTACAGGCTTTTGGATCCTGGCTAATGTAAGAAAGAGTCAGAACAAAGTCCCGAGTTTTGTGGCTTTGGACGTGTGTTTGTCCTCCACAAGCCCTTTTGTACATGGGAGAACTGTGGGCAGAGGTTTTGAGTATAGAAGCATGAGATTTCATAAAGCAGTACATCGACTATGCAGAGAATGCAAATACACTCTGCTCTTGCCTTTCACTTGATCACCATTACTCAGCCCTTTCCTGTTCTGTGCTGCTGCTATTCAAAATTCTTCACCGGTTAGTATTTAGGGTACATCCTTTGAATTTCTTGTCTATTCTTTAAATGTTAAAGAAAATATGGGCAAATGCAGGAATATAAACCAACTAATACCTTGGCAAGCAAAGCCAGTTCACTGGCAACTTTTTGTTTGTTTGTTTGGTTTAGTTTGTTTGTTTATGTGATGTGGTGTTCTGAGAAGTTTAATTTAAATGTAGCCTACAATGATGACCATGAAGTTTTAAATATGAAGAACCTTAAGATGCTGAGTTTCCCTGCCAATTAGATTTTGCCTTACGTAATAGCATATGAAGAACAGCTGAAATCTCGAGGCCTACATAGTATGTGTCACTTGGGAGATATGATAGCCTCAGAATTAAGAGGGTAAAGTAATAAGTAAGAACAATGGAAACGGGGTCAGAGACTAAATTAAATCCTAGAGTATGCCCTAGAAATCCTGAGACTGCACCATAGGAGCCAAGAACTTCCGTTCCTTTCTTGTTTAGGTTTTTTGCTTCTGAGAACATACCAAACATTATATTTAGCCTCTAGATTTATTCTATTAAATGAACTACTTATACAACCTTGTATTTGGGTTTCTTTTATTTAAAATATGGTTCTTTATAAAAGGAAAGAGGAATTGACATTAACTTTAATGTTTTGCAGAAATAAATTTATACACTTCTAGTCAAGCTTTATTTGTGAAAATCTCTCTTATAAGTGTTTACTAGAGCTCCATGTACTCTGCCTCCATAAAGCAGAAGACGATATCCTTCCCTGAATTTATGATGTTTGTAATAGTTAACATTTATTGATTATTTACTATGCACCAAGCAGTATTCACACTGTTTCATGGTCTTAAATTTCCATTTGGTCTTGGAAACAGAGGTCCAAATGACTAATTAAATGACTTGCCCCACAGCAAAGAACTGCCATGTGGTGGAGCTGGTGTTCACGGGCAGTCTCGTAAGCACTGGCTGCCCTTAATGGTCAGGGGCAGCTTTTATCTTTATGCTTGCAGGCCTCTCTTCAAGAGCTTGCCGCTCTTTCTGGCTAGTAACTTTAAACTGAGGAGTATCTTTATGGAGGAAGACTTCCCTAAGCATTTTACTATAAATGTAAAGAAAGAAACCGAAAACCAAGAATAAGGATTATAAAACAGAAATAAAATGAAGCCTGGAGTTTCTGTCTCCTGAGCTCTGCTGCTGGGGAGACCTCAGACCTGAGTCAGCAGCCTCACTTATACTTGTGACTATATGAGATCAGATGATAGTGACCTTTGTAAGCAACTAGAAGGAAGGCTTGGGCTTTATTTGGTTGGTTCTGCTGTTTAGTGGGTAAGTGGCAGAAAAGGAAGTGAGAATCTGATTTGAATCTCTGCTTACCTTCCTGCTCTTGCTTAACTTTATACTGGAAGGACAACTTTATAATCTGAACTAAAAAAAAAAAAAAAAAAAAAAAAAAATAGCCAGAACAGTACTGACACTAGCCAGGCCAGAGATCAGCATCACCAAGTCCTTTGGAGAATATAATTGTTTGGTACAGTATCAGGCTCACTCCCTTGGTCCCTTTTTTTATAAAATAATCTACTACCACATGTCCTGTCTGACCATCACTTCCTGGACTAGAGAAATGAGGAGGGAGTTCCCCTACTTCCTGAACAGCAGCTTGGTAGTCAGGTCATGGCCTTGAAGCAGAGGCCCCAGTCATCTGGACACCTCCTTACACTCAGGCTGTATCTGTTTACCTTGGCACACAATTGTTAATCTCCCATTACTTGTGTTGTTTCATTTTCTTACAGAGTAGACTGAGAGTGTTTTGTTTTTAGAAAATACTCACTAGCTGTGAGATGGACATGCTGGGTTATTACTGACAAGGTTTCTTCTGCTTCAGCCTTAGGATCAGCAGGAAAAGGAAGCCGACTACCAGACCTAGGATCTGACTACAAACCTCCAATGAGTGGTAAAATCCTCTCTAAGGCTTTCTCAGCTTGCTATGGACATTATACAGTTCTGCTTCAAACTTTTAAGTGTGGTTTATGGCTTCAGTGTTGGCTTATGGTGTGTTAATGTAGTTCATATTATTTAGTGGGCCTCCTTTTGGTCATTTTGTGGCAAGTGTTGCTGAATTAATAGAAGCCGATTTTCACCATAGAATACTGTTTCTGCATAGCCAGCTGGAAACAAGACTGATTCCTAAACAAATGATCTGTCTCCTACTACCTCGAGAAAAAGAGTTTTAGACTTTGAAATATTAGCCCTCTGGCAGGATTACCTATCACCTAGCATAAGCCAGAGAACTGATTCAGAATCTCAGCATCTCCCCTACTATATTAATTTTAGTCTGAGAATTCTAGGGAAAAATACTCTACTTTTATACCATTTTACAAGCTAGTGCCCTCAATTTTATAACACTCTTCTTGGTGCTGGAGCTTGGAGTTAAGAGCACACAGGCTGTTCTTGCAGAGGACCCAGGTACAATTCCCAGGACCCACACAATGGCTTGCAACTGTATGTAACTCTAGTCCCAAGGAATCTGCCATCCTTTTCTGGCCTTCTTGGGCTTTGCATGATGTGGTACACAGACATACAGGAGCAAAACACCCATATTCATTAGATAAAAGTCAGTAATTTTGTTTCTTAAGAAAGCACTTCTCCACAGACTGTTACTTATCATTTCCGAGTTACTCTCAACTTGGACTCACCACCGATCCTCAACTCTGGGATGTAGGGAGAACAGATTGAAGTATTCCCAATTAATACAGTAAAAAACATCAGTGGAGAAGTGGCATCTCTGAGGCCACTCTCTAATTCTGTCATAAAACCAAAGTTCAGACTTCTGTCCTCTGGTTGTGCTTGTTTTCACTGTCACATGCAGCCTGAAATGCAGAGGATTCTGTACCAGGTGCAAAATGTCTAAAAAGAAGTTACTAAAATTGATTTTTTTCCACTGTCTTATCACCTCTACTTAGGCATATGAGAATACCTTCTTACTCTCCAACTATCTGTCTAATGCCCGTACTTCAGAGAAACCCACTGATTTTTTAAAAGACACACTTGAATGCTTCAGGAAGTCTTATTCTACCCTTGTTTAGCTGCCTCTCCTTCATGCATTTGTTGCATATTGGGCTATAGACAGTATAGTATTAAGATTGTGAGAAAGTAATTATTCCTTTATCTTTTCTTTCATTTGTGTATCCAACTGTACATTGTATTTTGAAGGTTCAGACTCTTTAGCAGACTATAGGAAGAGGAGAAGTAAGAAAGGACCTGATAGAAAAATAGGCATATTTTATAAAAGAGGTATTATCTACCCCATATCCCAAAGAGCATATGAAATCCTAAAGGCCATAGAAAACTGGGAGCTGGAGAGATGCTCACCAGGTAAGAGCACTTCCTACTCGTGGAGTAAATTGGAGTGCAGTTCCCGTCACTCTCAGCTTGAGTGGCTCACAACCACCTTTAACTCTAGTTCCAGGGATCCCATGCCTCTGGGCTTCACAGGTACCCACACATGCAACAGACACTCCCCTATATGAACATAAGCAAATATGATCTTTAGAGATGGACATCAGACATTCCCGGAAGCTCTAACAGCACATGCAAATGCATAACAGCACCACCTTCTCACTGTAGAGGTCCACTGCCTGCAGGTAGAATAGAAGTGTACAGTAGGTTACAACTAGCTTGACAAAAGCCCACATACTTAGATTGCTAAGAAATCTGGGCTTTATAAGTTGTATATGTAAAGTGTCTGACACTACTGATATACCAAGACTTCCATTTTTTCAGTATCTACTATTATTAGTCTGAGAACAGTGAAGAATTGATTGAGAGCTAAGAAGGTGTAAAGTCAGGGGATAAAGAAGTAGTCCAGTAGTCCAGTCAAACATACAGAGATGGGTGTGATATGATCTCAGGTGAGAGTATTGACAGCCCTTTGGTGGCCCCATCTTACTCTATTCTAGACAAAAGCTTTGTCCAACTCATACGTAGAATTTAAATCCAGGTGAATGCTGAAACTTATTTGTGTTGAATGCAAAAAAGAAGTAACTTTCTCTTCTGTTGTTCTCGTACCCCAGCTCCAGTAGCCTTTAGTTTGCCAGGTTGGTCCCACCTTGCAAGAATCTAGCCCAGTAGTCTAGCATTTCTGTTAATAGCAATGTTGGGTTAACAGTATGGTTAATTTTACTGGCTCTAGTCTTTCCCAAATACCAAAATGTTATCTCATTGAAGGTCAGTATGTACAGTTTTAAGTTCTCTGCTTAGCTTTTTCTTAGAAATGAAGGATAAAAATGATCGAACCGAATATAAAAGAATAAGCTCTTAAGCCATTCTAAATCAACCTCAGATTTAGCACTCTACTTAGATGTCCATAAAATTATAGAATCAAAGTTGGGAGGTCAGATAATCCAGTGTGTTAGGATTCCCACACAATGAGAAAATGTTTGGTTTAGGAACCTCGTGCTCCTTTCATCGGCTCTACTGTTTGGCTGGCATGCCCTGGGGTCTGCCTGTCTCTGCCCCACCAGGTTATAGTTGTTCTCCACCATGCCATGTATGTATGTGGATGTCAGCAATTCAGACTCGGGTCACAGCGCTGAGCAGTCTGCCCGGCTGTTTCATGCCTTCCTTGATAACAGTTCCTTCCACAACATCCCACTTCTTAAATACTTTGTTTCTGGTTGATTGGTTGGTTATTTTTGAGACAGGATCTCAATCTATAACCCAGGTACGGGCCTAGAACTCACTGTGTGACCCAAATTGGACTCAATTTGCTGCAGTTTTCCTGCTTCAGTTTTCAAAGTGTCAGTATTACAGCATGTGGTACCACACAGTCTAAAAAATTCTAGTGCCAGGCAAGGGACACCCCTTCTGTAGTGTTTCCTGAGCCTTTGTGGTCAGGGAACCAGGAATTGATCAGTGTCAGTGTCTCTAGTTGACGACTCACTCGCTCTCAGTGCCTTGAAGAATGCCACAGCTCTGCATTAACTGTTAGACACTGCAGTGAGTTTAGCCCACCAAAGTTAGGAGTAACAAATCAATAAGCATGCGTCAGGGTCCTTCTACTTCTTGTTTCCTCTCTCTAGAGCAGTGGTTCTCAACCTGTGATTTGAGACCCCCACCAGGGTCGCATATCAGGTATCCTGCGTATCAGATATTTACATTTCAGCTCATAACAGAGTAAAATTACAGCTAAGTAGCAACAAAAATAATTTTATGATTGGGGGTCACTACACATGAGGAACTGTCCTGTCACAGGACTAAGAAGATTGAAAACCAGTCGTCTGGAGTGTCTCACTCAGCCTTTGTATGATGGGATCTATTGTCTAATTATAAGCTCAAAAGCCATTTCGAGGAGAAGTTTCTTTTTTAAAAACTTTTTTGATACAGTTAAGCAGATGAAAACAAGTTGAACTTAGAGTCCAGACTGAGTGCTCTGCGTGCTGTCTCTGCATGGCTTGTCTACTCAGTCACCGTCTCGGGGATGCAGAGTGCAGACTCAGGCCTCACTTCTCCAGCACTGTGGAAAGAGACCCTATTCTTGAGACAGAGCCACACTGGATTCCAAGGAGCGTTTCACCTGCTAGTCTAAGTTTGCCACACACTCACTCCACACTGCACCCCCACTTTTTCTCTTTTTCTTTTTTTTTTTCATAGCATTCTTAACTAGTAGTTTCTTGCCTGTTTGTTGTTTGTGCCAACTCCCACCCCCAGCATTCCCAGCATTCACGTCTTTGCTGTTTACTGTTGCATCTTGAATACATACAACAATGTATGACACAAGGTAGCCACTCAGTAAACAATTGTCAAAATAACACATATGTAGAGAACTACTTCTTGCTGAAGTTGAATAAGAAAATAGACTCTATAATCTGTATACTTATGTGGAAAGATTATTTTTCCAACAGTGATTTTGTAATCTCAGACATCTACGTGTTAAGGAAAACTTTTTACCTTATATATGGCTATACATTTTTACATGATTTTGAAAGCAAAATATCCCAAAGGATTTAGAAATGGTGGTTGTGGGTGTGTATGCACAGACGCCAGGTTCTGTCTACCTTTTAAGACATGGTCTCTCTCTCTCTGTAGCTCACAACGTAGGCTTCGCTCCCTGCCCTCTGAGCGTTCATGCCCTGTGTACCAGGGCTGCACCTGCCACTTCTCCAGCGCTGGGATTATAAACTTATATAACCATGCACAGCTTTTATTTAATGGCTTCTGGGGATGGAACCTGGGTCCTTATGTTTGCAAGACAAAGACATCTTACCTACTGAGCTGTCTCCACAGTACAACATGGGACTTTTAAAAATGAATTTGCATGTCTTACAAGACACCAGAAAAGCAAAACATTAAAATTAATTAATTACTTATTAAAATGTATCTGAAACTTTGTGCTTAGAAAGCTCTAGAATATCAGTACACTTGAAGGTTTTGTTGTATGCTATGTAAGTAAACCTCTATGCCAATCCGTGTGTGTAGGGCAGACTCTCATATCCTTAGGAATTTATAATTGAGAAGTAGACTCCTTAAGTGGCACTCTGTGCAGTACTGTGATAACTGGTTTGAAGGAAGTTCACTTGAAATAGTTTGATAGAGCTGATTAAATATATTTTTTAAATCACCTAACTAATTAACATTTGTACCATTTTCCCTTACAGGCAGCAACAGCCCTCATGGGAGCCCCACCTCTCCTCTTGACAGTAACATGCTGCTGGTCATCATTGTCTCCGTCGGCGTCATCACCATTGTGGTGGTTGTGATCATTGCTGTCTTTTGTACCCGGCGTACCACCTCCCACCAGAAGAAGTAAGGATCCCTGAAATGTAACCCTGGTTTTGTTTGTTTCTTCTTCTTATATGTTGCTTCTGTTTTTAGAGTGATGCAAAGAGTTAAAAAAAAAACAAAAACATAGAGTACAGGAAAAGCCACTGTAAATGCAGTCATAGCCCCCCATGGAAATGTCTCGGGGATCTTGCATATTATGACAAGTCCCATAAGATTTTAACAGAGCTGAAATATTCCTGCTGTCTACTGAACACAAGTTGAAGAAGAGGCAAGAGAAAAAGAAACCATGGGAGAAGGAGGAAAATGAACACTGGCTTTTCTGAGCCTCAACAAGCTCCTTAAGGTGTTTGAAACTGAGGGGGTGAGGAAGGTGGCTCAGCAGGTAAAAACATGTCCAGCTTTTGTAGGAGACACAGTTCTGTTCCCAGCACCTGCTGTGGATGGCTCATAGCCTCCTGTAACGACTGCTTCAGGGGAATCTGACACCTTCTGCTCTCTGCAGAAGTGTACACATGATTAAAAATAAAAATCAACCTTTACAAAAATAAAAAGTTTGACAACATCTCCCTCTGTCTCAGGCCAAAAAGTTTGCATCTACAAGCAGGAATCTTCATAGACATTTCTGAGTAGGAGACCTGGTTAGGAAAGTAGGGCAGGTCCTCAGAAGAGATTCTAGAAGAAGGCACTGTCTGGCATAAGAGACCACACAGTAACATACATATTATTGTCCCCAAAGACCTTCTAATAGGACAAGAATGAAAAAAAATGAAAAAGAAAGGTAGTGGCATCAAGGATCTGAGTCTGTCCAGTCTGGGCTCACCTTTATGTTTGTGTCTTAGTGTTCAGTAGTAGTTATGTATATGTAGGTAGGTATACACACATGAGTGTAGGTGCCCACAGAGGCCAGGGGCATCGGATCCCTCTGAGACTAGAGTTACAGGTGTTTGTGAGCCAAGCCACAGCAGTACTGGGAAGTCAATTCAGGTCCTCTGAAGAAGCCATCTTCTCTTCTGTGCCATCTCTCTAGCCATATATCTTAGGTTTTTTATCAACAATAACAACAAAAAATGCTTTACAAACTAAGAAGTAAGGGCTGGAGACATGTCTCGATGAGTAAAGTGCTTATAATGCAAACATGAGGGCCTGAGTCCAGGACCCAGTACCTATTTTAAAAAACACACTCAGCAGAGTGCATCTCTGACTCCAGCAGTGTGGAGTGTAAGTGGGGTGACAGAGAGATCCCTCAAGCTTGCTGGCCAGACAGCCTTGCCAGTCAGTGAGTTCTGGGTTTAGTGATAGACCCTGTTTCAAAAAACAGTGTAGAGTAGTGGAAGACACCAGATGTCAGTCGCTGAACTCTATACACACCTACACACATGTCTACACAAGCCCCACACACATGTATGCATGCAGTGAAAAACATGAGAAGTAAAACATTGAGTTGATAAAAATAGAGCATTTTGTAAGTTGAAGAAAAAAATTCTGCTTATGTACTTTACCACAAAAGTAAGAAGGTACATCTGTATATGTTCACAGCAAGCAAAACAGAGATTCTGAACAGACATTCACCATGGGCTATTTCTCAACAGCCTATGTGCCAGCTAAGGTGGGAGAAAACTATTAACCTAATATAAGTACTCTCTGTGTGTGCACACATGTGTGCATATGTGCATGTGTGCATACTTATGAGACAGGCTCTCACTACGTAGTCTTGACTGGCCTGGAACCTGCTGGAACCTGCTATTTCATGCTGGCTTCAAACTCACAGAGACCCGCTTGTCTCTGCCTCTGGAGCTAGGATTAAAGGCATGTGCCACCATTTCCAGCTAATGTATTTGTTTCCAATATAGGGCAGGTAATAAGCTACCGTGTGACTGCTATTTGAATGACTTTATGACAGATAAATCATGTGATGTTTTAAATCTCTCTTCTCAAATAGCTTTCTATAGCTTAGGTTGCATCTCTTTTCTAAGAGAAGAGGGCCTCTCTTCTGGTTTTAATTTTGGAAAACTGTTTTCTTAAGAGCCTGAAAGTTGGCTCTTTTAGACCATTTTTGCAAGTTTCTGTCTTTGGTGCTTCATTTATTTATTTATCTGTAAGTATTTGCTCTTACAGCTATTATTAGTATGCTCGGGATCTTTAATAGTATCTAAAAAACAAATGAAAACACACACACACAGGACAAATAGTTCCATAGTGCTTTAGAAGGAGTTAAAATTCAAAACTTGTGGTATCATAGGAGTGTGCCACTGTGTCCAGATTAGGAATAATCAGCTTACAATGACAGCACGTGAGTAGCAGTAGCCCTGTGAGGTCACATCGCCTGGTAGCAGTTTGTGAATATCTCTCCATATGTGACTTCCAAGTCATTGCTGTGCAAATGATTCCTGTACTGTATTGCTTCAAGAATAATGACAAGTAGAAGTTGACATAGTCAGTGACATTTGAAAACAATATATTTTCAATCTAAAGTTGGTTGAAACTGAGACTGTGAAACCCAGATATGACGATCCACTGTACTTGTTTATACTAGCTTGAAGTCTTTTTTTTTTTTTCACTACATGTTCAAGCTTTAATCCTTTCTAATGTTTCTGTCCCAACTATTTTACCAGTTGCTTTCATTGGGTTACACATTCCTGGGGCTTGAGTCAGGGGCTCTTCTTTTCTCCAGTCTCTTCCATGTGAGTTCATGTAGCTCTGTGGTTTCGTCGACTATGTGCTTCCCAGAAACTGTGTTTCTGTTTCCAGCCAGGCCTCTTTCTTCTGTGTACCAGACACAGGGACCCTGCTGGTTCTATTACATTTCCTCTTCACTCAGCACTCAGCTTAGATGTGAAACATGTCCACTTGTACAGGCTCCTGCATGTGAACACTTGGTCCACAGCTAGTGGTGTGGTTATGGAACCTTTGGGATATGGATCCTTGTGGAGGAAGTGTTCCCTGGGGGTTAGCCTTTAGGTTTTATGGCCCTGTGTAATGTCTTCTTCCTGACTACAAGTTCAGTGTGACCAGCAACCTCCTACTGCCATGACCTCTGGCCATGGTGGAATGTATTGTCTCAAACTATAAGCCAAAATAAATCCTTCCTTAAGTTGTTTCAGGTCCAATAGTTTGTTGTAGCAATGAGAAAAGTAATTAATATACACATGTCCAAACCAATCCATAGTATTTTCAGTAAACCCTTTTCTAATCCACTCTTCCCACTGTGACTAAGTGGCCTTGGCCTCACCGTTTATGTCTTTTTTTTCTTTGCCCCCACCCAGTCTGTGTTCATTCCCTCACTAAGTCCCATATCTCGGTCTCCTAAATATGCATTCAAATTTGCCTCTTCACTGTCATAGGCCAGCTTTGATGGACTCCCTCCTGTCCTCTACCTCACAAATCCAGTTTCACAGGATAGTAGGGATAAAGTTTTAACTCAGATCGACCTTGTTACTCTCTTGCTTAAAACCATTAAATGATTTCTGATTTCTGTGAGAAGGGAGTTCACAGTCTTAGTCTGCTGTAGGGCCCTTTCTGACCTGCTCTTGACTGCCTCCCAGCACTGTTCCAGCCTCCTCTTCATGGCTCATGCTCACCACTGAGGACTTTGCAGAATCCTCTAGTGTACACAGCTGCTGCAGCTCCACTTCAGGGCTTTGACACAAGCTCATCTTACCACCTGGAGCACACGTGCTGTCCCCGTTAGGTCTCAGCATAAAAGTCACGTCTGCACATTTCTCCTCTCTACCTGAGCTCCAACTGTTAAGGTTAACACTTGGCATTTTGGTAAGTTCAGAGCATTTAAAAATAGTGCAGTGTCATTTTCATCACTTGACCAAAAGTGCTGAGGGCACAGCAGTGTAGCAGGGGCTCTGGCAGGAACAAGGTGCCTAATATGTAGCTGTTGAATGGGAAAGTGAGTGAATGAGTACTGACAGAAACTCCAGTTACCACATACCTGATAGTCCTGGTGGGCTACCTAGAACATGACTCCTTCCTTTCTCTCAGCCACAGATTTTTATCTGTTCTCACTGTTGTATTTTTACTTCTTCTTGTCCTTCATCTAGGAGAAAGTTGTAAAGGACCCTTCTGCTTTTAAAGTTTCATTTTTAGTTGCTATCTCAACCTTTTAATATAAAGAAGATAATATTCAAATATACTCTGGCATAATATCTATATGAACAAAGCAAAAACACGTTGACTTTTTCCAGAAATAGACCTTTTGTCTCTGATTTGTTGTTTTGCTGCTACTGCTTGTTTGTTTGCATTTCTGTCCTTGTTTAAAGCATCTCTCAGAAGGGCAGGGTTTGTTTCTCTTTTACTTGAGTTGGAGTAGTTTTGTTTTAATATGATATTGTATTTAGTTCCTCACAACATGCTAGACAGACATTCTGATACTCATCTACAGGCCCTTTTTTACTTATTTTGAGAGTAAATCTTGCTAAGCTGCATAGGCTGGCCTTGAACTATCTCTGTAGCCTAGACAGATCTTCACTAAGATAGAATCTTCCTGCCTCTGCCTCTCAAGTAGTTGGGATTATAGGCTAGTGCCACCACCACTAGAAGAAAATCAATTTTAATCACAGTGTTTTGACAAATATATTCAAAAGAAGTACGTTTTTAAAACTACTCTTCATTTTGTGCCTAGGAAACGAGCTGCGTGCAAGTCAGTGAACGGCTCCCATAAGTACAAGGGCAACTGCAAAGACGTGAAGCCCCCAGACCTCTGGATCCATCACGAGAGACTAGAGTTAAAGCCTATTGACAAGTCTCCAGACCCAAACCCTGTCATGACTGATACTCCAATCCCTCGTAACTCTCAAGATATCACCCCAGTGGACAATTCCATGGATAGCAATATCCATCAAAGGCGGAACTCGTACAGAGGTACCGTTTTCACTTCGTAAGGCGGCCTGAATTTGCTAATTTAGTTTAGTTTTTAAGAAATTTGTATCTTGGGATTTTTTTCAGCATTTGATGGACAATAGCTAGCTGTTATAGAAGGAGAAAGGTTGTATATTATTTAGGAATACCCTTCTAGATCTTTTTAGGTCTCAACAGGCTTCCATACAGTGTTTGTGCCACCTAACTCATGCTTGTGCATTGGATTGTGTCCTTTTCATTGGACTCAAGCTGTCACGATGGCTTTCAGAACCGTTGTGATACAGAAACTTCTACACTAAAGTACACTGTGCACTACCATAGCATTCTCTTTGAATCTCAGCAGGAATTCCCATGATACTGTCAATGGAAATGCCTTGCCCTGGTGCATTGTTAGTGAGTCCCACACCCTCCACTGGGAATGTATTACTGTGGAGGCTGCTCAGAGGTCTAGGGCATATGCTTGCTGCTAACCTCCATACTTTATATCCAGGGCATGAGTCAGAGGACAGCATGTCTACACTGGCTGGAAGGAGGGGAATGAGACCAAAAATGATGATGCCTTTTGACTCTCAGCCACCTCAGCGTAAGTAGAAACTTCCCTTTCCTCAAGTGCTACCAGTCTTCTGTGTCATGGTGGGAAATATCCACCAGCGTATTTTTAACTTCTCTTGATTCCAAGACAGAGACCAACTGCCAATGTTGTGGCACTTACAGGAAAAAATACCAAACCATTATTGTATTTCAAATTAATGTTATCTTGAGCTAGAGTGCTTAAGAACACTGGCTACTCTTCCAGAAGACCAAGGTTCAATTCCCAGCACCAAAAATACCAAACCATTATTGTATTTCAAATAAATGTTATTCTTGAGCTAGAGTGCTTAAGAACACTGACTACTCTTCCAGAAGACCAAGGTTCAATTCCCAGCACCATCATGGTGGCATACAACTCTCTGTAACTCCAGTTTTAGGGGAACATAAAACCTCTTCTGGCTTCCACAGATATCAGCCATATACATTGTGCACAGACATACATATGGGCAAAACATCTATACACATGAAAATAAAAATTAAATATTCTTGTAACATTTTTAAGTTACAGATGAATCGATTCCAAAGCTAACTTACCAGCTAGAATATGGTTGTAGAGATTTATGTGCAGGCCTAAGACCTAAGCTGGGGTTCTCTGCTTCCCATGAGGTAGCAAGGGAAAAACAACTAAGAACTGTCCTCTGACCTCTACACCTGCACAATGGCACATGCACTCTGTGGCACACATGTACCTATGCGGACACATGATAACTTAAAAAAATAATTTCTGTACTCTCCCAGAAGTAGGCAGGTGTGTGCTCTCCCTGAATTCAAACAGCATGTCCACAGGAGAGACAGGAAGCATCTCTTAAGACTGCAGCTGAGCTTTCCAACTGTCATACCAATGCTTTAGGCACCCTGCGCATGGTCAGTATTGACATGCATCTGTGAGATTTTAACTTGACTTTTAAACTTCTCAAAGTCGTTTCATATTTGTAGCATGGAGTTTTTACAACATTTTAACCATTGACCCATGCTTCATTTTGTCAAGCATATATGTTGCTAGACCTCTTTTTCTAATAAATAAAATTAAAAATAAGTTAAATGTTACTATTGAGAATCAAGAAAGGAGTGTGGTGAAGGGACGGCTCAGTAGTTAGAGCCAAGTTCAGTTCCCACCACTCATATCAGGTCGCTCACAGCACCTATAATTCCAACCTTGGGGGGGGGGGAGTCTTTCACCTCTGGCCTCTGTGAGCATCCCATCCATGTGCACAAGCTTACATACAACACACACATAACTTAAAATAATAAGATTAATCTTTTTTAGAAAATCAAAAAGTGCCAAGCATGGTGGTAAATCCCTGTAGTCCCAGCACTTAGGAGGCTGAGTCCAAACTCAGTTCACGGGCAGCCTGGCTGTCAGTCAGACCCTGTCTCCACAGCAGGGAAAGGCAAGGAGATAAGTCATTCTTTGCAGACTACTGTGTCCTCTGTCTTGCTTCTGTTGTAAGATAGGCCTTTCAGAGTAGCTGGCTCTGTGGGTCTTGCCGTTGAGAGAATGCTCAGCTGCAGTTCTGCCAACAAATGAGGAGATAAGCTAGCTCTGGACGTTCTACACAGAAGCTGCTGCCATGGAATCCGCTACTTGGCAAAGCTCTCATCCACACTTGCAGTGGAACCTCCGAGCGTGCACGTGTGCGTTCCCTCACTCACACATGCCTCACAGTGTACGGTCAGGGAAGACACTAGATTGTAAGGGTGCATCAGCTCTGAAAGAATATGGCTCTGTTTCTTTAAAAATAAATAATTTTTGTACAAAGTAAGTTAAGCTTAATGCCCCTAACAGAAAGAAAGGCTTAAACTTGGAAGCATACAGGGGGAAAACATATTTTCTCTACTTTAATAGGTTCTTTATGAGCTGGAGAGATGTCTCAGTGGTTAAAAGCACTGGCTGCTCTTCCAGAGGTCCTGAGTTCAATTCTCAGCAACCACATGGTGGCTCATAGCCATCTGTAAGGGGATCCAATGCCCTCTGCTGGTGTGTCTGAAGAGAGCAGCAGTGTACTCACATATATTAAATAAATAAATCAAAAAAAAGTTTTAAAATTGAAAAAAATAATAGTTTCTTTATGTAAATACCCTCAGTTTAAAAAACACAAAAAAGAGCAAATTAATCTATTTCATTTTTGGTTTGGTTTGACTTGGTTTGGTTTGGTTTGGTTTGGTTGTTTTTACTCATAAGAAGATGGTAACTTGTGTGTACTAAGATCTCTGTTCCTACCTAAACTGGCTTATTTCTATAACTTAGAAAATTGAACACTTTCTAGATTTATTAAATATGTTAAGGGTAAAAGATACAATTCCAATTGAAATTATTTTCTCTCTTGTTTGGTTTGGTTTGGATTGGTTGGTTGGTTGGTTGGTTGGCTGCCTGGCTGGCTGGCTGGCTGGCTGGCTTGGGTGTGGAAGGGATGTGTAAGAATACACAGTATTATATAATCTGTGCCCAAACAGTTGGGTAGATGTTAGAGTCTCCCATTCAAAACTTTGGAGCCAGGCGCCTGGATACATCCCAGGCTTTGAGAGAGCCTTGTTGAAACCTACCTAGTGGCCCTGTTTTACCAGCTTGGATTCCTTGAGCTCTGTGTGTCCTGTGATGAAGTCGGAGCCATGCACCTGGCATCCTCATGCCTAGGTCTGAAAAAGCTGAGCAAAGCTAGATGGGCTTGCTGGCATCAGGATGAAGTCAGATCCAAACCCTACACAGACCCACAAGTTCAGATTCTGCTAACTTCATTCCACACCAAAACATTCACTTTTTATTTACTTATTTACAAACAGTTAAAATAGCTTTTAAAAGAAAAGAATGCTTTCAGTTTGCACTTCCTAGGTCAAGCTCAGTTTAACTGCTTCACCCCAACCTGAATTTTGGAAAATATTCGTTCTGAAGCATCTCACTTTGTAAACTGCTTGCCCCAGGGCTGATCTTGATCCGAGACTAACTGATCATCCTTGTCAGCCAACTTTTCTAGTTGTAATTTCTTCCTATGGAGCTGCTGGAGCTTCTGGTCCCTGAAAGCAGCTGGAGAAGACAGGCACTATTTCATGGTCTGAGGGTTCTCTTCCCAAGGTGATGTTGGGAGCCCCACAAAGGTGTATGGAGAGCTCACACAACAGAAGATAATTTAGTAGGCTCCAAAGAGCTGATATTTCTAAGCAATATGAAAATGTTGCTTAGAAAAGGGGTGGGGAGAATCCCTGTGTTCCTGCACGCTTTCCTGTTTGGGCAGTGTACGGCTGGCTAGCGTGACCATAAACATGCTTCTTCAACTATTCTAAGGAATACCTATGAAGCAGTGGTTTTCTCCTATTTATATCTCAGGTTAAACAAGAAACTTCATTAAAGAGGCTTCAAGGAAGTTATATGTAGACTCTACACAGAACTTTCTATTCTTTACTTAAATTGGATCCTTAGTCAGTAAAGAAAAAATGAAACTCAGAAATTTCCATTTATACTTTAAAATGCTAATGGGTGTGGTTGAGCCCCCAGGCTGAACACAGTAATAAGTGATGCTGTACTACTGTGATTGGTATTTTTATTACTAGATTAGAGTCTTTCAAGATATTAAAACTGATTTAACAGCTATTTCTTTATTAATACCCATTAATTGAGCATATGCTCAAAGGAGTCTAGTATCCCTTAACAAGGACATACATACTAATGTCCCCTTAGCAGGATAGAAAAAATAATAGAAACATTATTTGCTTATATATTTATATTTTATGACATATTCAGATAGACATTATAATATTCATGTGTTTCATATTTTAATAGAAGAATTCAGAAATGCAGTTAAACCAAAGAAAAATACTCCCTTAATCCTGACTGTCATTCACCCCCTAAATGACCCGTTAGTGAAATATATCCCTCAGACTTTCTTATTATATCTAGATGTAGAATATGTCTAGAAGTGTGTCCATTTGTTAAGTCAAATATAAAATTGATGGCTGATTATCCAGCCACCTGCCACCAAAAAGCTAACGATTGGGTTACTGGGAGGTGGGAAGGGGTGACGTGTATGTGTCTGTGCAAGCGTGTTAAGCATCTCTCTGTCTTGTGTTCATTCGCAGCTGTGATTAGTGCCCATCCCATCCATTCCCTCGATAACCCTCACCATCATTTCCACTCCAGCAGCCTCGCCTCTCCAGCCCGCAGCCATCTCTACCATCCCAGCAGTCCATGGCCCATTGGCACATCCATGTCCCTTTCAGACAGGGCCAATTCCACAGGTGAGAGATGAGGCTCAAGCCCAGACGGTGGCATGCCAGGAGTTGGCAAGTGGAAGTGGGGAAGGACTTGCCTATTTACAGATTCTCAGTGTTACTTGTTTATCATAACATCTTTGTGATGGATTCATATTTGTTTCTGTAAAACCTACTGCACTTTTCTCCCTGAGTTTAAGTATTCAGTACAAGGTGCCATGTTAGTAAAAAGCAGTAGTAGCTTGAATTGCAAAAGCTTCTCTTCCTCCAGTAAGCCTCGCACCTTAACTTTATCACTTTTTCTAACCTCCCCCTTGATTTAGTTTTACAGTTTGGAAGGGGAGTTTGTTCCGAGTGGCTTATAGAAACCAGTTGTTGCCTTTGTCTCAGTCACTGTAATGTCAGACAGTCATTAGGTACAGGTTACTGCCCTGTGGACCAAAATAAGGACAGCTTCCAGGAGGCATCTGGGCCACCTTAGGGGAGTGGGGAACATCTAAAAAATATAGGAAAATGGCATAGCAGTCTTCAGTGTGTCTTTAACGCTTTGTCATACAAACATGTCTTCATTTGGAAATCATGGCTTCATCAGACAGTTTTAAGGGAAAAAATGAAGATGAGACAACAAAAAGAATCGACTGTTACTGCCCAACTGACTACAAGTTCATTTAAATCTTGTCGTGTTGAGCTGCAAATCCTAGTATTTATTACTGGTAAAAATAATATATATATTGACAGTTCTGAGAAATGAGGAAAATTCTAGTGAGTTCCGTTTTTCAAAAAGCCTCTAACTTGAATATTTAAAAGTTTGAGTCCTCACTACTAACATCTGCCTGTCCTCAAGTTTTGGTCAGTCCTTAATACCCCCAGAATGCCAAACGAATGTCTGAGCTTTAAGGGCAGTCTAAAAGATTGTCTAATACCTCTTAGTGTCGCACACTGCCAGTACTGTTGCCTGGTGTGGATGGTGCTGCTTAAACCCACCCCTAAGTTCAGCCTTCCCACTATTTCCTCCCAAATTTAGGTTCCAGCCTACACTTAGGAATCAGTCATTATTCCAGCCAGGTCCATGGGAACCAAAGGTTGTCTTACAGACATGAGCTCCCAGAACAGTGAGTGCCACACTGACCATGTGCAAGGCTGAGGGATCCATCCCACACAGTCCTCGCAGAGGGAACTGTGTGGAAAGTTCTCCTGGTCTGACTGTCCCTGTCCTCCTTTGTCCTGGACTAGGAGAGGCTTGAGAGTTAGAGAGAAGACTGGAGTTCCCACTGAGCATCCATCCAAGCTGTGGACTGTTATTGGTAGAGTTCTCTTCTGTGTATGCTGAGACAGAGAGTGAGGAAGGGGAGAGGTGACATAACTGACACAGCTCTTGCTTTGATGCCCAGAGAGGATAACATGATAGATTCATTAGAGAACTATTTGAAAAACAGAGCCAGTATCTAGAAGTAATCCAAGTTCTTCTGCCTTGTATTTCTCCAAGTTGGAGCTTAGACTGCTATTTTCATAGCTTTGGGGTGGAGGCTGTGCTGAACTGGAGCCTGGCCACGTAGTCTCTGCTCTAGGGGCATTTGCCACTGCTTGCCATGAGAGGAGCACTTTCTGTTTGACTATTGTGAAGTTTGTGTGTTTTAAACAACTCTGAAAGGTAAGGAATTAGGCCCCTCACCAAAGCAGAAATTTTAGTCTGAGCCTAGTGTTTTAGTTAGAGCTTGGCCTGCAAGGTTGAGGAGCGTCTTCCTTGGAGAATTCAGTGTTCTGGTGCCCTCTGGAATATACAAGGCAACCCGAGTCTGAGGCAGTAGCTAGGACCGTGACACATACAGGCAACTGAGCACTCCTTACTTTCCTGCCATCTCTTCGTAAAACACAGTTGAGGCTGTTAGGCGTTTGTACACAGAGTTGATCTACCATATTGGCTGACCTGGTGATATGGTCAGAACTTAGACCTATAACTCTCTCACAGCCTCTTATTTCCCTTTCTAGCCAGCTTCTACCTGGTGAAGTTATTCTAGCCCACTTAGGGTAGGGGTAGGGGGCAGCACATTCATCTTCATCCCCGGGACCTAGGATCTTTTAAGTTAAAGTGTGGTTGATTCTGTCTACTGAGAGCCCAAGGGAACAGATGGGTTGCTTTTTCACAAAGGAGGGAAGTATGTTAGATTCCTGCAGATAGCTTATGTGTTGCTCTTAAGGCTGAGAACTCAAAAAAGTCAGAGTTCAAGGCCTTCAAACTACCTGTTGCAGTCTATTGCCCAAGCTGTTCTCCCTATCTCCTTTCTGGGTGAGATGGTGGTCTACCCTGTTCACACTTTATGAAATTGTTCCTCAGTCCCTGACATTGCTGCTGCTGCTTTGCAGGGGGAGACAAGCATCAGGTGCAGAAAGGCTTCAGAACCTGAGCCTGGGAGTCAGTGCAGGGATTCATACTCTGCTCTGTCGGGCCTGTCTATGGGTGACTTTCTTTACCCTCCCAGTGCCTCCCAAGTTACTCTGAGAAATAAATGTAAAATACTTAGCATAGAATAAGGACTTAGTAGTCTACAAAAAGAACCTCTCTGTTGTACAGGCACGATGTTCAAGCTCTTCATATACATACATACATACATACATACATACATACATACATACATACATACACACACATTTTATATATATAAATAAATATATATATATAAATAAAATTTATACATAATGAATTATGTGTCTCCGTGTTTTATAGATGAAGAAATTAAGACTCAGAGACGCAGTGACTTTGCCAGGCTCACTCATCTAGTATTACCAAGTAGAGTACAGGACTGCTGACTCCAGTGTGCTTTTCCTGCCCCACTGTGCTGCCTTCAGCAGCTCCTCCCACTTTGTATTTTCTGACACTGTTGCCTTGTTCTCCAGGCTAACCCTTCCCTGTGCCTCTGGATGAAAACACCATCCATTTGACACAGTCACCAGCTGTGTAAAGACCCCTAGACTACTGTGAGGCTTTATGGTCATGAGATCAAAGCCATTCACATTGGTGATGGCCATGCAGTACCTGAGCATTGGCCTCACCTGCACAAGCCTTGCTGATAGAGCCAATTTCTGGTGGATATTATCCAGCCTGTATTATGGGCATGGTTGTCTGTGAATGGTCAGTTTCTAAGAGTACCAATCAGTGAGTGAAATTTGAAAAATTATATATGCTAGTCTTTGGACTATTTGAACTTTGGAGTTCTTCATAAGAACTCCATAATAAATACTTTAAATCTATGAACTTATAACTACCGACGTATGTAACTGGAAAAAAAATGAAGCAGTTGGTTGAAACAAGATTGTTTTGGGATTCTTAGATTAGTCCATCCATTCTTAGCCTTGGCTGTCATCCTGATGCATGTGTCTGGACTAGCACTGATCTCCTCAAGTGCTTGTTGTCAGGCTTAGGGAACCCCTGGAAGTAGCCACAGCTGCATATTTTAGTAGTAAGAAAATACTAACATTTAAGCTTTCCTGCTATAGAATCTGTTCGAAATACCCCCAGCACGGACACCATGCCAGCATCCTCATCTCAGACATGCTGCACTGATCATCAGGATCCTGAAGGTGCTACTAGCTCCTCTTACTTGGCCAGCTCCCAAGAGGAAGACTCAGGACAGAGTCTTCCCACAGCCCATGTCCGTCCTTCCCACCCACTGAAGAGCTTCGCTGTGCCAGCAATCCCACCCCCGGGACCTCCAATCTATGATCCTGCACTGCCAAGCACACCATTACTGTCCCAGCAAGGTGAGTAAGGAGGTCAGCACTGCTGGAGGGACTCTCTGGTTTCGGTCAGCTTTGGGCTAGAAGTCTTTACCACCCTCCCACACCACCCTCTCAGCCCCTTTTTTTCTTTTCTTCCTCTTCCTCCTCTTCTTCCTCTTCCTCCTCCTCTTCCTCTTCTTCCTCCTCTTCCTTCTCTTCCTCCTCTTCTTCTTCCTCTCTTCCTCCTCTTCCTTCTCCTCCTCCTCTTCTCCTTCCTCCTCCTCTTCCTTCTCCTCCTCCTCCTCTTCCTCTTCCTCCTTCTCTTCCTCCTTTTCTTCTTCTCCTCCTCCTCCTCCACCTCCTCTTCCTCCTCCTCCTCCTCCTTCTTCTTCTTCTTCTTCCTCCTCCTCCTCCTCTTCCTCCTCCTCCTCCTCCTCCTCCTCCTCCTCCTCCTCCTCTCTCCTTTCTCCTCTCTCCTCTCTACTCTCTCCTTGTGCCCCCCACATCTGCTCCTGCACTCAGTCTACTGTGGTAGGCTGTTTTGGTTGTTAAAAATCTACCCTCACAGATCCATAGTTAGCAAATGGCAGTGTACTTTCATAACTTTAGATCCTTGGGAACCTTCTTTTTTGGAAAAAGGTGGGTTCTGTATCGCCCATGCTGGTCTAGAATTCTTAACCCTTCTGTCTCAGTATTGAGATTTCCAATATATGCCACCAAGCCTAGTCTGGGTATTATTTTTTTGTACAATGAAAAAATTGAACAAATTGTAGCTTCTTAAAGATTGATTTATAGTGTGAAATCTCTGTCTGTCCATGGACTGTACACACTCTGGCACACTAGGTTGCATTGATTGATTTATAGTGTGAAATCTCTGTCTGTCCATGGACTGTACACACTCTGGCACACTAGGTTGCATTGATCTAACTTGTGCTTTGGATGTGTGACACTGAAACACACATTGGACATTTGGAAGATACTGGTTCCCTAACTTAAAAAATCCTCCAAAATACAGCTTTCACAGTCAGATAACAGAAGCAAGCTTTTCAAAATGGCAACTTTCACTGCAAACTTTGATTTTAACGTTGGCAGTTACTGATTTTCCTTAAGTTCACAGCCCACTTCTTTCCATTTCTAGAAAATATCTGAATGACCCATATGTCAGTCACCTTAGAATTACAAGGTCTGTTGTTTACATGATAGAATCTCAACTGGCAAGTGATCTATCACGGTCCCCTTCTTGAAGATGGTTCTATGTGTGGTATACAGCCGAAACATTTGTGTTTTGTTACATACATGTAATTGAGGGTTAAGAGTTAATAAAACAGTTTCTTATTGCTTCATTAGGAGTAATATGCTGGCTTTTTAAAGTACAAAAGTATGACCCTGGTTAAGTTTCACAGTTCATTGCTACTGCCTTCATTGCTAAGGCTCTTAACAGTTTTGCCCATATTGCTGTGTACCCTCGATACAAAGAAAACACAGTAAAAAGGCATGTGTTAACCTTAAGTGTCATAATGAATGAGCTTTTACTCCCAGGTATTTATGAGTGGTCTGTGGCTCACCATACTTTGAGAACCATTGGGAGAAAATGCTAGTTTTCTAAAGGCAGTGGAGTGTTTCTCTATACACTCGGATGCCCTGTTGCCTTCTTCCTTCCATCTTGCTCCAGTAACTTTCTAGAGCAGATCTCTGTCCGGGCCTGTGAGCATCTCTCCCATTGAGGCAGCTTCGCCCTGGTGGGCTCCTGAGGTCTGGGGACAGCTTAGCCACAACCTAATGATACCCTTTGATCCTCAGCTCTGAACCATCACATTCACTCAGTGAAAACAGCCTCCATCGGGACTTTAGGAAGGAGCCGGCCTCCTATGCCAGTGGTTGTTCCGAGTGCCCCTGAAGTACAGGAGACCACCAGGATGCTGGAAGACTCCGAGAGTGTAAGTTCACGGGGCCTCAGCTTAACCAGGATGTCCTAAGGGAGCTGCTTGCATGCTCTTAGCTGACTGTACTTTTGTGTACACTGAGGTCGCTGCCACCATAGATATGAAGCAGATTGGCTCACTCATCAAGCATCATGCTGGAAGAGAAAGGGCCTAACATTGTTTTCAAATCCCAATAAACAACATCCGCATTTCCAGACAATGGGGTTCTCTAAAGAGAAAGCTTAAGTCCAGAGATGCGGGGAACACACACTATACTGCTCTGACAGAGATCTAGAAAAGGAAAGCAACAGAGACTCTGCCTTGTGAGGTCATTGTGGGCTGAGGAGTGTGTGTATGTCAGGAGAAAGGCATTGTGTGTTGTCAGGAAATGCTGTCTTTATTAATGACCTCGAGTGCATGCTGCTGCTTCTGATTTTACAGAGCCAGCCTGGTTTCAGTAGGCCAGCTTCCCAGGGCAGTTTTGGCCAGACTGCTTGATACTCTGGGCTATCCTTTCTGGACAGCCCTTCAGATCATTCCCAGTAATGGTGTTCTCCCTTCTGTAGAGCTATGAACCAGATGAGCTGACCAAAGAGATGGCCCACCTGGAAGGACTAATGAAGGACCTAAATGCCATCACAACAGCTTGATGACCGTCACCTGGACATGACTTCAAGTCTGAGTCTAGATGTCTTGGAACTTAACCTTGAAAACAAGGAATTGTACAGAGTACGAGAGGACAGCACTTGAGAGCAGGAGCCAGCAAACTAGCCAGTGGCTCCATGTGGGGTTGGCTCTAGGCACAGCCACCTGCCTTCTCCTGGTCAGCCTGGATTAAGCTTGTGTCGGGGCAGCTTCCCTTCGCCTGCTGATAGCCTGCAGGACTGGGCACTATGGGCCAAAATTTTGTGTCCAGGGAAGAGGCAAGAAGTACGACCTGCCTTTGCTTTGTGGTCAGTGGCTGTGTCTTTGTGCTGCATCTGCATCGCTTTTATGGAGTGTAGACGTTGGCATTTATGTACAATTTTGTGTCTTATTTTATTTTACCTTAAAACACTATGAGAAGCCAAGGGAGTCCGTGATGTTCTCTGCAAGCAGTTGACACTTGACTGCTGGTTCCAGTTACTTACGGAAAGCATCGTCAGTGAGGTTGTTTGACACCGTTGACAGGCACTGGCTTGTTGTGGGTTTCATTTTTACTGTTAATTCTGAGACATTGCATCCTCTGCCAGCTGTTAACCCATCACCTTGAGGGGAGGACATGCTGCATTGCTGTTTGTAAGCTTTTTTATTATTTTTTTATTATAATTATTAAAGGCCTGACTTTCTCCTCTCATCACTGTGAGATTACAGATCTATTTGAATGAAATGTAACATTGAAAAGACTTGTTTGTTGCTTTCTGTGCAGATTCAGTATTGGGGTGGGATTGGGGATTGGGAATAGGAAATGGAGGGGCTGCTGAGGCCCTGTGAATGTTTCTGTCAATATACTTTGTTCCAGAAGCCTGCAGAGAATGGAAGCAGCATCTTTAGTGTCCTTTCCTGGCATGTCCATCTTCATGTCACTGCATAGCAACTGGAGTTTTGTTTGGATCTGGTCATAAATTCTTGTACAACAGTTGGTTTTGATGATTTGGCTGCCCTGGTATCTTGGTCATTTCCTTTTTGGAGTGTCCACACTGAGGTCCCTAGTGATGTATGTTTAATTGCTTGAGAGATGCCAAGTAGAACCAGAGCCTGGTTCTGCTCTGAGAAGCTAGCATGCACAGGGTGGAGACTCCCTTTGTGCTGCTATTACTAGTTCTCTTGGGAAGGTTAAAAGCTAAGGTGGGCGCTTTTCCAAATAGGACGCCTGCTTCTCTGGGAGCCAGTCCTCAGCCAGGCAGCCCTCACGTCCGCACTGCAGAGGCTCTCCTGAAAAAATCAACCGGGATGAGGCGAGAGGGTGTGGGGCCTGTGAGGCTTCCCCACATGTTCCTGGGGACAAGGAGCAAAGGACAGAGATAGCGGAGAAAGGGTCAGCGGAAGCAGGTGCCTTCTTCTATCCCAGCAGCTCAGCCAAACCCCAGTTAGAATGAGGCAGCAGGAGGTTCGAGGTGTGCTGAGGGCTCAGACACACACAGAAGACTTTGCAGAGTGTTACAGAGGTAAGCTGAGGTGTGTGTTTGGTGATTTGGGTTTTTTTTTTTAATATTAATGTATAATGAAAGGTATAAGACTAGCCTTCAGGCATCATCTCCTCCAACAGATCCCTGGAAGACAGTATAGAAAGTAAATCAGGCTTGGGCCCCTTAGCCAGTGAGACTACTCAGACCACCAGTGGCTCTCCTAGCCTACCTGTCGGTGAACATGGGTTATTTTACCCTTTTAACTTTCAACAAGATGAGCTCTTTGTATGATTGTGGGTGGGGGGTTTGAAAATGCAATGATCTAACGCCTGTTGCTCTTCTAGCTGGTCACATGACAGCACCAGGCAGGGTTCTGGGACAACCAGTGTGCTTTGACTCCTACAGAATGCTGTCAGAGCATTCTGGCCTCCTGGAGGCTAGATTCCTCAGAAACTGTCTAGCCTTTGCCCACAGAGCATGCTTCCCATGAACCCCAAGCACTTCTGTTACCTCAGGGCCTTGGTACCTGGATACTGCCACAGAATTTCGATGGGGCGGGGAGGGGTGTATTTTTAAATAAAGTAACTTAAAAGTTGGGGGATTTTTTTAAAATTGAGAAAATGCAAAGCTATTCTGTATTACACCACTTCACAATTTAATATGTCTTATATTTTCCTGTGATTCTGGAAACTAACCCATTGTGTGTCTTGTCACGTCTTAGTTGAGCTGTGGCCCAGCAGCTCCCTTCAGGAGGGTGTGGAACAACTGTGTTTGTTTCCTTGCTGCCTGCTTGAGGGTCCGACGGACTGCTGGGACTGGGTTCTGTACACACTCGTTTGGCCTTTTCTGTAGTTGATGCTGTAAAATTCTATGGCTTTTTTTAAAAAGTAATTTCATGTTTTTATTTAGTATTGGAAGTCCAATACACTTTTTTAATCCAATCAAACTGGTCTGGTCAAAAAGTTCTTTCCCTTAAAAGTTTGGGGGCTGCTATTTCCAGCTTCCAGTGACTTCTCTGGCTCTCGCTGCTATAAAGCCAGGAGTTAGGATGGCAATCTGGGCAGAGGTAGCAGGTAATAAAAGAAGTGTCTGACTTTCAGCCCCAAAGATGTGTCTTCTTCCTGTCCATTTCCTGCTGTCCCTGCTAGGGGCCGGAGGGGTTGGGGAAGCCTGAGGAATGGCAGACAGCGCCGAGCACAAAGCCACCCCGAGGTGCACAGCATCATGCTGAGTCAGCTCTCCGATGTTGGAGAGGCAGAATTCCGCTGTTGAGATCTTTCCATTTTCCACGCCTGGAATAGTAATGACCTCAGCAGTCACAGGCCCCCTGCCATCTGTTAGCCTGTGACAGAGCTAGGGCTGGGTCAAGAGTGTGGCATCCCTACACCCTTGTGTCCATCTGCTCTGCTGCCAGCCTGTACTTGGAAACCTGGATAGCGCCCACCATCCCTGTTAGTGGTGCTGGATTGGCCTCAGGATAGTCCAAGTCCCCAGAGCTCCAAGAATGCTTGTCTGCCCTTACCTCTGCATCCAGATAGACAAGTAGGTACCAGATTCACTGCTACTCCAGCCTGGGAAAGCTGCTCTTGAGATCCCATCCCTCGCCAGCCACATCGCTCACCCGCGCTACCCCCTCTGCATCCCTAGATGGCACTCTTGGCACATTTTCCAATGCTGGCTCTGCGAGTCTTTCTGCAGGCGTCTGGTCTCAATACCGACAAGAATTTCTTGCTGCTTTCTGACCGCCTCCGGGTTTATGCAGTTTCTGACGAAAGCAGATACCTGTCTCTTGGATGGGTGGACAAATAGCCCTCAAGATAATAAGGTCTAGGGATTGCTGGGAGGCTTCTTCCATCAGCCCCTCCCCACCTTGCAGGGACCTCAGATTGATTGGTCCTTAGTGTTGAGTACCAGGGCCCCTTTGGAGTCCTGGAGTGGACTTGAAAGAGAGCTGCCTGCATCACACAGTCCTGAGAAGTCATGCTCCTGCCACCGCTATCACCTTGGTTCTGAGAACTAAAACCAAGTTGCCCCCAAGACCGGCTCCAAGGTGAACATCATGGACAAAGCTCTGGTGGGGAGGGGGGGAGGCTTCCCCGGCCCCCACCAGTCATTTCCTCCCTCCTGCCAGGTGTAGAGAGTACCATCTGGAAAGGCTAGAGCGCATCAAATAAGCCACCAAAAGGTTAACTAAGGCCATGTGGATAAGCAGGAGCTAAGAGGAGCCACCCCTGGCCACATAAGAGATTCCAAGTGCCACACTAGTAACCTTGGGTTTCTGGCTACCAGTGAAAAGAAATACTAGGGTACCGAGGGAAGATGCATGAGATACTAATTGAAGGGAAATGCTCTAGTTCATTCTGCTGTAATAAAAGCTGACCAGAAGCAGCTTAGGGGAGGGAAGGGTGTATTGGGCTTACAGTTCCTGTCATAATCCATGAGAGAAGTCTGGGCCGCCCTGTTTGCTGTTTCACAGCGTTATCTCCAAACAAGGAACCACTTCACCTCCAAAGGAGTAGAGAGACATGAGGGATGCCTCTTGTTGGCTGCCTCATGGGGGTGGTACCTCCTGCAGTTACCTGGGCCTTCCTGCATCAATAAGCAGTCTGCCGCACACCTGCCCACTGACCAATCTGATCTCGGCAATTCCTCCTCTGTGGACGCTTTCCTTTCAGGTGACTCTAGGCCATAGCAAGTTGACAGTTAAAGTCAACAGGAACATAATAATACTTCAGACTCTTCATGCTATGTACTAGTGGAATAAAATACTATTTAAATCTATCATTACCCTTAAGCTTAAGGCTGATGTTCATGTTAAGATGCCCTTTACCCAAAGATCTAGAGCTGAGCACTGGCTGCATTTCAGAGAAAAGAAAATTTGAAATTTCCTTAATTATGGGTAGGGTGGGCCTGGAAAGTTGTACCTTTAAGATGATTGAGGGAAATATTCCCAAGGGAAAATCAAGAGAAAATGGCCTGAGGCGTCTGGAAGAATGTCTTAAAGCGAGTGGATCAGCAGCGGGCCCTAATGTCATTGACCTTGTATGAGGTAGGTCCCTTCCAACTCCCAGGTCTGAAGTGACAGCTGCTCTGGGCACAAGGCACTGCCCAAACTGAGATAAGAACCTCTAGACAGGGAGATGCACATTAAAAGTTTGGCCTGGTATGTGTGGCCCATATGGATGGGCCTTCTGGAAGCAAGACCTTAAGAGTCTGAAGGTAAGAACTCCATGGTATCAAGAAGTGCAAGACCTTCAGTACAGTTGGGCCCTAGCCAGCAGAGTCCAGATCCTAAAAGGTCCTGGGCCACTGTGCACATTCTCAGGGTCCTGGAGCAGACTCCTGTCACCTGGTTGCTAGATGCTTGGCCCACTATGACCACCTCTCCCCTCTCCCAGATGGGAGTGCAGGAACCACCGTAAGCTCTCTGAATCACACTTTAGTTCACTGCTCAGCCAGCTCTGTCAGCCCCAGCTCTCAAATGTCCCCAGAGTGCCACTTCCTTGTCTGGTAAGCAGTCTAGTGTCACATGGAATCTCACATGGTGGTGACCATTTACAAGCCAGAATCTTTTTTAACTTAAGTTCTGTCTCCCTTGCTCAACATCACACAGTTTCCTGCACAGCAGCCGTTCAGCATGGCCCACCTGACCCTTCCCTTCCCTTTCCCTACTTGGTCTGGCCACAGAGCAGACTGCCTCTGCATAATAAGTGTTGTGTGTGGCCTCTGAACTGTTTCTCCCCCTCCCCGCCCCCTTCACCACTGGCTCTGTCAGAATGTGTGTTTTAAAGACCCAATCTAACTAGATCCCTGATCTTTTTTTTTTTTAATGTTTTTTCCAATACATAAGGACTTGCTTAAGGAAAGAATTGTATGTGTATGGGTTCTCCACCTTAGTGCCTAATGCACTGTAGGGTTTTACTAAATGAATTTCTCCTGTGAGAAAGATAAGCCCTGAAGTCTGTGAGCTAATGCATCCTGACCCAGCACTGAGGGAATTTGACAAAACTCAAGTTCTTCCTCCAAGGGAACACTTCGTTAGGAAGGCTTGTTCAGAAGAGGCATGTCCGCTGAGTCTGAGATGTCAGGAGAGAACCCATATGCAGGAGATGGGCAGACCGAGGTGCCACTTCACATGGATGCCTGAAAGAAGACGACTCCTAGACATCCATGTCAGGCTCAGACTCCTGTCACTGGGGTAAATGGCAGAACGCCAGCAGGCCAGTACAGTCTGAGGCAGGTGCACAGAACTGACTGGGCACCTTCGCTGGACGGGGTAAGTGAGTGCTATCCATTCACCGAGCATTTTCTGGAACGCTCAAGGACACAAGGCTGGACCCACTTGAACTACATGTGGCAGATCAGATGCTGCAGGTTGGAGGTCAGCCGACTGAGTTAAGGATAAAGTGGGTCCTTTCATAAAATCAGGTTTTGGGTGAGGAGATGGCTCGGTGAGTGAAGTGCAGGGACCCAAGTTCAAATCTCCAGAATCCACAGAAAGCTGCACAGAGTGGCACAGGCTTTTAACCACAGCACTTCTATAGGCTAGTGACAGAGACAGGTAGAGATAGGGATGAGAGAGAGAGAGACAGGAGATTCCCTGAAAACCCATGGTGCAGCTAGCCAGGCACACAGCAGCAAACAACAGAGACCCTACTTAACAAGGTGGAAGTCAAGAACAAATGCCTGGAGTTCTCCAGCCTCCTCCGTGCTCCTGGACTCACACCAGTACACACAGACACACAAAGGCCTTGCTGAGAATTCTGAGTGGTTTACAGCTTTCCGAAAGAGGAAAGAAGAGCTGGGATTCCTAACAGCAAATGGCAAGAGCAGGCTCCTATCGACAAAGTTGCCTGGGGAATGGTAGGTAGAAGAAACTGCTTATGAACACTCTAGATGGACAGAAGGAAAGCTGGCTGGCACTGAGGCCAAAGAGAATGTGGGATGGGTGGATATTACAAAGGAAGGAATATTTCGAGTCTGTCAGAATGGGTTTTCCTCTCCCAAAATTCGAGGAATCATACACTGTTTCCAGATACTTCTGGAGCCTGTGGTGCCTACGTTTGCAGCACGAGTTAGACATATGTTGGTGACTTGTTCCCAGCCTAGAGGAGGACATAGAGCCTTCACGACAGAAGTCACCACGCAGCATGGAAGCCTGCTCAACAATTTGGCAAAGGATGTCATTTCCAGCCCTGAACGGAGGCTTAGGGGTCATGAAGCTGGTGGAGAGAGCGGTGCAAATCCACTCAAGAAATGAACAGTTTCCTCTCAGTCCTGCTTGCTTGGACCAGATCTAACGAGAAGACAGACGAGCAGGTAACTAGTTACAACAGAAATGCTTTTAAATGATTTTTCTAAAGAGAGTAAGGGACAACTCTAAAGAAGGAACAGAGAATGGTGAATTTCTCTTACCATGGTTTTTGCTGCATCCCATGTTTGGCAGGATGTCTGCCCCCCACCTCTGTGGGGGGGAGAGAAGAGGAGGTAATGGGGGGAGGAAGAAGGAAGGGAAGAGAGTCATTCTCTTCTGATCAGAGAATATACTTTAATGATTTTCTCTCTTTTAAATCTATTCAGACCTGTGGTCTGTCTTGAAGAATGTCCCATATGCATGCCGGGGTGCTGTTGGAGGAACTGTTTAGAGACACCTGTAGGTATAGTTGGTCTAAGTTGTCAGGTCTTCTACTTGCTTTTTGTTATTTGAAGGCAGGCTCTCATATAGTTCAGGCTGTCCTAAAATCTCTGCTCCTCCTGCTTTTGTCCACAGTTGCTAGGATACAGTTGTGCACCACCACATCTGGTTCCCAGATGCTGGGATACAGTTGTGCACCACATCTGGCTCCCAGGTGCTGGGATACAGTTGTGTACTACCACATCTGGCTCCAGGTGCTGGGATACAGTTGTGCACCACGTCTGGCTCTCAGGTGCTGGGA